AACAAAGAATAAACAACAAAAGACGGGCACCGCCCCCCCCCCCCCCCCCTTCCCCCCCCCCCCCCCCCCCCCCCCCCTCTAATTGAATATTCAACGCGCGCACCGTGCTCTGCCTTTTTCAGTGAGCTTGAGAATGCGCCTTTCTAATTCTCGGTCCATACACAAGCAGTGTCAAAGGTCGACAAATAATGAACTGCGCAGACATGGAAATGACCTCTGCAAGCGCAACCGCTGCTCCAAACTGAATTCTGCATGCTGAATGGGGTTTTGGGCAAAATATTTGATTTGACATTTGGATAAAATGTTACAGTGGATTTTTTTTCCACCATCATTGACCTTCACTCAGTCCACGTGTGAACATGAACACGAGCCGAGACAACTGGAAAATGAGAGGCCTATACCTGGTCAATGAGGTATATAAAAACAACATTTAAAATACATTTCTTGTGACTTTAGCCAGTTAAAATATTAGGTATGTGATAAAACAAACCATACAATTATTATGTCTTGCACCATGTCTTCATCTCTAATGGTCTGTGTTATTTAAAACACTTGTTGTGTATCATCACTTGAGTACTATTCTGCATTTAACACTTTGGATTTTTTTACTGGTTTTTCGGTAGTTAGCAGTTAAAAGTGACAATTTGTTGTTTGAAAGGACGACAGAGAGGCAAGTGCAGGTCCTTTGGTGAATGGAAGCTGAACGCACGCCCTCCGCGCGCACAACCCACGCGTACACGCGTAAACACACAGACGCAAAATGGGGCAGGGTTCAAAGGGCGACGGTGTTTTCGTCTGTAAAGACAGGATAATGGTCCTTCCTCGGCCACAGTATATGTTGAGTAGTTGTAGCGCTTAATGCACTGAAGCACGCGGACTGTCACTGTGTGACTGTTTATCCCGCAGTTTAGTGGCTCGTTCGGAAATGCAGTGTGGAGCAGGAGCGTCATCTGGTGGCAAAGACCAGTGTTAGGTGATGAACATGGAGCTGCACAACCATACTTTGGAGAATATTGACAAAATAAAATATATTTTTTATGCACAGTTCAACAATTTCACTGTAGCCTACATTGTTATTTCTGAATAGTAAACGAGCATAGGAACACAACATCTTCTATAGGTCCCAACCATATCACATGTAACAGACTGCAGAATCACATCTGATCTCCAAAGGCCCCAGACCACGTGGGGGACCTGAATACTCCTCATTCACACAGCAGCACCGTGGCCTCTTTCATATTGCTCCTCTAGTGAGAAGCTGCCAGTGGGATTGTATGAAAGTTATGAAGTTCCCTTGAAGCAATAGAGGCATTTAAAATTATGATGTGAAATTTAGCATCTGATATTATACATTGTTAGACAGTTATTGACATTTGAATTAACAAACCAGACAGTCACTTCGGCACTAATTCGACAACATTTGTGAGCATGTATAATTTGTCTGATAATTATCTGATTGGCTAAAATACTTCAAGAAGAGAGAGAGAAGCAAAGCTTCATAACTAATTGTTTAAGCAGAGAGGAATAGAGGGAGATGAAGGACGACGAAAAGACAACAAGTCCGGAGGAAAGTTAAAACACTGAGTCCTTTACAGTATGAAGTCTGTTTTACAAAATTGCTAAAAGTGTGCTTCAATGGCAAACACACTGCAGTCAATAACAAAGCTCATATTTGATGTGATAGTTGGTGAATAATCTTTGTGTATAGTTTTATAGAATACTGTAATCTTTCATTCATTTTGAGATGTCACTAGTGTAATGTTAAGTTCAAATGACACATTATACCTGTTGTTGTAATGATTGACACCCAGTCCATGTTCTCTCAGATGACATTCAACAAATACACAGAGTAGTTAAAAAAAAACTGCTAAACATCTGCTTGTTGAGACCTCAAGTAACATTTATAAAAACTCCTTTTTAACAGGTGACTTGAGTTTACCAGGTTGTTAGAATTTCACTGCTTTGCACGTTTCAATGAAAGCCACGTGAACCAGTGACTCATGTGATTTTCAGAACTTTTTATTCTCATAACTTTCTGTTTTAACATCAAGTATCTTTTTACATTACTTCAGGTGCCGCCATCAGATACTTAAAGCAAAACTCTCAGCTCAGTTGTTTTTCCTTTGAATACAGAGGCTTCAGTCAATCATTTTCAGTATCAACAAGTATACAAAAGTTACAAAACAAATAAAAAAAAACAATTCTCCTTTTTCAAACTTTTTTTTGGTTGAATAAAACACTGCAGTCATTCAGCCAGTCCATCCAAACTTCAGTATAACAAATACTGTCACCTTAATAACATCCGCACCTTTAGAAAATACACGGTAGACTCCTTAAACATCCCAACTAGGTTATGTTCATGGGTGGTAAAGCTAAATACATCAGAACCTTTGTTCGTTAAATGCAAAGAAAATAGACAAAAACCTGGAGATACCATCATCTGACTTTGACTCAAACACATGAAATACAGTCAGCGTGCACAAAGTCAACCTCCAGTTCACTGTCAGCGGAGCAGCTCCAGGGTTTTACTTTTGATAACATCACATACTCTTTACTCTTTTCTACAATGCTGGTTCTCATTGTTGTCAAAAACAAAACAACAAAAAATGGACACAAAATACCAAACAATTACGGAAAACAAAGATACACATGAATTAAAGTTCCTCTGTAAATACTATCAATCTAGTTTGATGTATTGAAATCAGAAAAATAAATTTCCTTTTAAATATTAGTTTAAAAAAAATCACATTGACATCAGCTTATCACGGAGCCAATTAATACATACAGCATATAGATATCACGTTTACTTCATATCATGTGTATCTTAATAAAGGAATAAATAAACACATCTTTATCTATCAAACGTGTGATTGTTAAACTGTTTCTTTGTCAGTTCTTCAGTTTACTCCCTGTATTCAGAGCCCTTAATGTTCAAAGATAAATTCAGCTCAGCATATTAATGTGATATACTATATATTAATATTAAGGTCGCAATCTGATACAGAATGAACTCTGGCTGTCAGTAAATTCAAATAATCCAACTCTACGTCATAACATCATGGACACTGATGGCATGTGTTTGTTTTTATTCAGATTCTTTTAAAATTGAGGCTTTATGTAGTAGAATCCAGACATGAAAAGATATGAAGCCCCTGAATTGTCATGAGCAACTTTTTGTCCACTTTTGCAGTGACCACCACAAAGTGTTTGGTGCTCACTAGAAACCTGGTGACCTGTTTAATGAGGGAGGAGGAAAAAGATATATATTTTAAAAACGAATCCTTTTGAATTACACACACACACACAAAAAAAATAAAGTTATGTTCCTCTTCCGAGCTTTTTGTGGCGGTTTCAGCCGCATGTCTTCCTCAGTGGATGGCACTTGCTCAGTGAGCTATCCCCATGACAACTGAATAGACTCCATCCTCTGACATGGCCGTGAGATGCGGTTGAAACCTCTTGAAAAAGCAAGTAAGAGGACCTTGAGTTAATCCTCCCTTTTGTTGAACTACTTTTTACTTGTTTTTAAAGTCTTCTGTGATAATAAACGGAATATCTTTCCGTTTTTAAAACCATTTTAAAGCATAAGTTGGGCACTGGGAAATCACTATTTTCTGATATTTTAAAGACCAAACATTTAATCGACTAACCGAGAAAATAATCAGCAAAATAAAAAAATCATTAGCTGCAGCTCTAGATCTCAGGCAAGCTTAAATGGCTTTCACATATATCACGGCTTCCTCAAAACTTTCTCAAATCCTGACATTTTATAAAGACTTTCCTCGTATACTGTATCTTTACACACACAACCAGTCCCACAGTTAGTTACAGCAGTCACTCAATCTGTCTGTGGCTCCTGCTGTCAAAGATCATCGACCTCCTCTGCGGCTGGTAGAAGCAGCTGGTTGACGTTTCCAGTCTCTGTCCACTTTTTGGAATGGTCATTTTGTTTTGAAGGGCGATCCCCTCCGGCGTCCTTAAATTGTCCGCCATCTCTTTAGAAAAGACATTCGCTGCCGAGGCGTCGTTCAGGCTCTTGATGGACGAAAGGAGCTTGCCGTCATCTCCTGACGGAGGATAGTCCATGATGGGAAAAGGAGGGCTGAGCAGGATGAGACTTTGAGGTCTCTGTCTGTTCCTGAAGGACGGTCTTTGTAAGACGTTCCCTCTGTTGGGTCTGGGACAATCTACAAACACTTCCAGACTGGGCGCGTGTCTCCTCGTGATGACTGGCAGCTCTGGAGTAGATGTGGTCTTCACAGACTCAGCAACATGTGGATGTTTGGGTTCAGGCTCCTTATTCTCCAGCTCCTCCTTTAGATCTGACATCACTGGATGAGGTGCGGCATTGCTTTTCTCTGCAGTCGTTTTAGGATGTTCCTTTTCTTGTTCCTTCGCTGCATCGAAATCCTTCTCGAGTCTGGAGGGAGGTATCTGGCTGTACTGCACCTTCGGAGGGACGACAGGCACAGCTTTGGCCTGGCATGTTTTTATCATGAAGGCTGTTCGCACCGAGGACACGCTGACCGGGGCTGAATTTCGGCGTAGAGGCGCCTTCCGATCACTCAGAAACAACTCCAAATCTGAGGGAAGCCTGTTGTTCACAGACTCGGAGGAGGTCAGTAATCCTCTCTGACCGGAGGAAAACGCTGATGAATTACGGTTTTGCTGATTGGAAATGTCTCTGATGCATCGATGCCCCAGGTCTAAATTAAGTGAATACGGTCTGTGTTTAGAAAAGCAATTTTCCTCTCTTTTCTCTGCCTCATAAGACATCTGCCTGTAAAACTTCTGAGATGATGCTGTATTCTTCTGTTTAGTTGTGCTGCATTTCCCTGTGTGAGGTTGTGCTGTGTTACTGCTGTTCACACTGATCCCTGACGGCAAATGCGTCCATTTAGTCTCTGGTTTGCTACTGGTAGTCTGAGGAACGTTTCCTGAGAAGTGTTCAGTGCTCGTAATGAGACACTGTTTGTTGTCATCAACTGAAGGAGATGAAATCTGAGTTTCCCCACGAGTACCGAAGGGTGATAGCTGCTGAAACAACTCCTCTATGTCAGGTGAGTGGAGCGGACTGGTAACCCACTGCTTGGTGGAGCTGAAATCCTCCCAGGGCTCCACCAAGTCCAGCTCCTCTGGGTTTGCTCCACATCCTTCGTCGTTGTAGAGGTTTGGCAGCTCCAAGGCGTGACGTCTCTCCTCCAAACACACCGACAGCCTCTGAATAACCTCAGACGCAGAAACCCCATTCTTCTTTGCTGCATCACCAGAGTCGTTTTTGTCTCCTTGGGGGATTTCAAGTTTCTCCGATTTTTTGTCGGTATCATCTGCTCCTGAGAAGCCTACAACAGTTGGAGTATCCTCTATCGTCAAGGGATTCACGACTTTATCCAAACAGGTTTCTTTTAAGGGAAGCTGGCTCTGTTTCGTGTCATCTTTCTTTAAGGGTTTGATTTTTAGATGCAGCTTCTTCTCTTTTTTTGCGCCCACCATATCAGCGCGAATGCTTTCTGTGTTATTGTGAAGAGAAAATAAGATGTCAGACTCGGAGGGCTGTTTCTTTGCAGAGTCTGATCCAGTGGGCATTGCGTGATCACTCAGAGAGGTGTACGAAGGCTGATCCCTAAATAACAACGACAGAGACGGGGAGCTGCGGCTCCGCTTCGACTTAACATCCATTGTTAACTTCATGCCCTCACAGGGGCTCTTGGAGTTGAAAACGGGTTTGAAAGTCTCATCCAGCAGGTCGATTTCAGGTTCTGTTATCTTCAGCTCTTGGTGGAGGTCAGACCAAAGTTCTTTCCCAGTAGATGATCCCTTGTCCTGAGAAAGTATTAACAAGAAACAATGTAAAAATAGAAAGGATTACATACAATCAATGATTCCACCACTCATTTATAAACCAAGCAAACATAATTATTCTTATATATCTGAGAAGTATTCACAAATCCCAGTTATTAATTTTACTTCTGAGAATTGGATGGACCAGTGATTAATCCGACAATACCGATACCATGTGGTGTTCGATTTACTATTGCTTTTTATTTAAATATTTTAAACCTTTTATATTAAAAAAAACTTAAACTGAATTTGATGTTAAAATACACACGGAAAACTTAAGCCCCAATCAAACATAGCATCTGTAATTCTGCTCAAGCGGAAGCACAACTAACATGATTTACCGGTTGCAGAGTTATCTGCCGGTTGTGCAGTTCTTTCCCAGGAGATGGCGCCGCATCTTTGCCTTCTCTTGCATTATCATTGGACGCTGGTTCCAGTTGCAAAGTATTCACCCCTCCTTGACCTTCTTGCAATATTTCTTTGCTTGCTTCTGAATATAAAAAAAAAAATAGTTTTTTCATGACATCTTATAACACATGTATGTACTTTCACAAGAAACCTAACTTTAGCATGTGATAATGTGTCCTCACTCTCTGGCAGGACTCTCGGGGTCGGCTCCTCTGTGTTTTTCCTCTCTGTTCCTTCCTGCTTCTTGGGTTCCAGTTGGGGGAAAGTGTTGCTCTTTCTACTGTTGACGCTCTGCTCTGAGCTCTCTTTGCAAGGTTTCAGAGCAGCAGCTTTGTCCTTGACGTGCACCCTGCAAGGCGTGCTGTTGGAGCTAATAACGGCTGACACACGCAGGGGTACAGACACAGCAAAAGGCTCGGATATGTTGACAGCTCTGCGCTGATGCCTCGGTGAGGACTCCAGCGGGAAGAAGCTTCCTGGGAAGGAGGGCCGAGAGGAGCTGTTGTGCGAAGAGCCCGAGTACAACATCCTCCTGCTTTTCGGAGAGGTGGGCTTGTAGCTGCTGAGGTCATCACCTTTGAACACCTTCAGTTGCTCAGGCAGTGTTTTTTGAGGGGGTGCAGAGGCACCTGGTGCCCCTTTTTGGTCCATGCTAGAGCTCCAGCCACCTGTTGCCCCTCCAGTTTTCGTCCCTTTATTAAACTCCCAGTTTGCATCTTGTTCACTCAGATCAAAGAGCGAGTCAGATCCCAGAGTTCTGGACTTTACATCCGGAACAGAAATGCTGCCGGATCCACTGGCTTGACATTTGTTTCCTGTTCTGTCATCATCTGTGTGGTAAAAATAAGTGTTACACCATCATATTCATTTTGCCCTGTGTTTAGATTAAAGTATCCAGGTTTCAGCCCCACCTGTTGGTAAGGAGCACAACGACTCCATGCTCCTGGATGGACGCAGAGCTGCCTTTTCTGTTAGAAAACACATTATCACACTTTGACAAACATATTTTAAGTGTCGGGAAGCTGTAAAAATGTTAAAAACCAGTTTGAAAATTAATTTTAAAAATGTGTATAGTTTTGTTGACATGGTTAGATCATTGTTAACTCTCCCTTTGGACATTTTACCTGTCCCTTGTGTTCTTATGAACACACTGCCGTTCCGGCTGAGTTTTCCCTTCGAGTCCACAGACCGTCCCAGGTTGAAGATGGACTTCCACTTCTTTGATTTCCCAGAAAACTTTCTCCTAACAGACCAACAGAGATTATTAAGTCCAGTGCTATCAAACAGCGCCCTGACAGTAATACATAAATACAGTAATTGTGCATGAATCAAACACTTTCAATGGACTGAATCCAAATCTGTCATACTTGCTGTCTGATATGTCTATGACGGTGTGGTAGAGCGTGGCAGTGCTGGTGTCAGGCAAACTGTTCTCTCGCTGACGTTCTTTATGCACAGGATGGTTTGGACTTAAGGAACGGGCCTGGGCTTCTTCCAGGCTCATCAGTTTCATCGGCACACACTGGCCGCTGATCGGGAGTGTGGCATACTTCTCCCCACACATCAAACTCGGTCCTGGAGAAGTATAATCATTTTTATTTTTTTTTTTAAATGGTGAGTTAGCAAATCCTTAAGCCCAACAAATCTCCCACAAAAGAGTTTATATGTATATTTTGAATACCTTCTTTGGGTTTGATTTGCACAGAATCACTGAAGATCTCCTCTGTGTGGTTTAGAATATACTCAACCACTGACTGTTGTATCCGCACCTCCTGGAAAGCCATGTCGCCATTATTACATGACGCCTCAATATCTTTAGATCTAAGAAAATGAAAGTAATAAATATTAGAATCCTTTGAAGAAAAAATTAAATGAGCAAAAAAGTACAAATCTTTTAAACCGGAAAGTATTTCGACATTACCGTCTTTATTGAAGGTTTTTTTTAAAAACAAATTTTATGAGTCAAGTGTTTGAAGCATATCTGTGAAGCTAAACTCACCGTAATAGATTTGGAGCCCAAACCAGGGCCAGGTTACGTGTATGCATGTTTGTCTGGGTGCTTAAGGTGGCAAGGTGGGCCAAGTGTTTAGTAAGGTACTCCAGAGTCCTGAGGAGAGTTGACAAACACTTCTTGTCACATTTATTACAACAGAATTCGTCAAATCTGGACTGTCCGTTGGGCAATTGTCTTCACTGCTGTGAAATGAGTGTAAAGGGGCCAAAGTTTACCTGAAGTGAGGGGTCGGCAGTTCTTTGATGACCCCCTGAATGTGTAAGAGTCTCTCATGATCCCCCTGGACCAAGACCACTTCCTGCATGCAAAACAGAAAGATGTCCATGTCAAATAAATTCACCGTAAAACTTTACTTCCAATAGATACTTAACGCCAAATATGAATTGAATTCTCACGCTTGTGGTCTCTGCAGCTCTCTTTAAATTCTGTCTGATAATAATAATCTTTCATTTGTCAGCATACATGCAAAACAAACAGATGGCCAGTTAATAGGATCTGTGTGTTAAAGGGTGAATCTAATTTCCCAATGCATGCCCTGTCCTTCCATCAAGCCTCCAAACCGTTTTCCCTGCTCAACAAAGGTAAACGGACATGCTGGAGTGCGTGCAGTCAAACTAATGTGATTGAGGTCCAAACAGCTGAGCATGTTAGCTGCATTTGTTAGTCATGTGTGAGGTCGTCAACATTAATAGTTGTTGAAACGTGCTCTTGCACAATCTTGTGCCATTATGTCTAATAGCTGAAGCACAAAGATTAACTTTAAAATGACATTATGCATGAGTACATGATGCCAGGTCAAATAGGTGAAATAATCAATAATATAATGTACACATCCTGCTCAATGACTATGTTGTTAAGAGTTCATTCCTTCCAGGACAACTTGGCTAGAAAGGCTAAACTGGGTTTTGGTGTTTTTTTTATATATTACGCCTTGTGAGGAACTAACTTTTCCTAAAACACTGCAGTACTGGAGTTTTCAAGCACACGCAGCACCAGATGTATTAATACCAAGGTATGCTAATGGCCCGTCAGGGTACACAGAAAGCTTCACAGAGAGCATGAACCAGGTCTTACAGTCAGGGATTCCTTCCCTCCTGCTCCTCTCTCACGTCTCTTTCACATCTGCAGTTCATCCAGAAAATTCTAAATGTAGATATTGTGTCTCCCCGATGTTGGCCCCACAGGTTACCAGATACATTTGGATATTTAAATTTGAATGTTTTTGCTCTTGCTTCCTAACAAACCTTAAACCCCCCTGAGATCCGAAAGGGACAGCAACAACATGTTTTAACCTTTGAATAGTGCATTATTAATATATTGTTACTTGACAAAACTTCTTGGCAACAGTGTTGCCCACAAAAACACACACATAAAAGATAAAACAGATAGTAACTCAGTCTCTTACAATGAGTTTTTTTATACAGTAAATGCAGGGACATCTTTTTATGATCATAAGCAGCAAACCTACTACTTTTAATAACAAAGATGACGAATGATATTAAATCATACTTCAGTTTAATTACTTAACACAGTATGTTCTTTGCATTCAGTTCAGTTGACATCTGCTAATGATACTGTATTCTCCGGGGAAGAGATGAAAACAGCTGATCAATAGTTCAATAGTGAGCCGAAGACATGAGGCCACGTTCATGAAAAATTGTAATAAATAATGTCTTCATAGTGTTGCCACAACTCTGGGACTAATTACTGTTTGTAAAGCACGAATCTGCCGTGAAACCACGCCTAGGCCACGCAGGATTTTTTTTTTCACTTCAGCAAAACTGTAAACGTGAATGTACTCACGGTGAATCTGCTGTATAACTCGTACGTGAGCAGAGGATTGGGTAGCTCCCTGAAGAACAGCTTACATAAGGAACCCACACAGTGGATGTCCTGGAGGTACACTTCCTTTGTAAGGTCAGGGCACGCCTCGGAGCAGAATTCCTGCCTGCACACAGGCACACACACACAAACACACACACACACACACACACACACACACACACACACACACAAACACAGTTGGCTGAATGCTTTGATTGTTCCTACCCCTGCTAACTGTTGCAGTATGTTGCATAATAGATTGAGGTCTATTCAGTCGACTAACGTTGTTGTGGAAAAAAAAAAGCAATGCTAATCGCTCTCAATACTAATCTGAGAAAACAATATTATGTAAATTAATGAGAATCATGACTATATATTCAGCCCACGTGACTAAAAAAAAGTTTCTGGTCCATTTGATGTCGGAGAGCACAATTTTCCTTAATTACCAGGATGTATACACAAGTAATTATAGAGAATGTAAGGTTAAACCACTGCTGCTTTATAATGAAATCATAATTCTTATCACCTAATGCCTAATATTTTGTATGACTTGAGGTTTTTGTTGCCTCGAAAGCATTACTGTACATGTTGCATGAGTACCTGAGACGCTGGATATTTGAGGTGATCCCCGACAGTCTGTAGATCCCGTCCACAATCCCATGCTCCTCAATAAACTCTGCACATTTCTTAAGAACCTGAGGAACTGAAGTTAAGAAACAGTGTTATTAATATACTTTTAGTCATATACTTGATGGGCACACACACATCTTAAAAGCAAGAGAAGGAACTGTGACTCTAATTTTTCGGCAGGAACAATGCACATACGGTTGACTTCATGGTATATAGGGTTTGTTCCACTAGGTCTGTTTTCTATTCCTTAGGGCCGCTGATTGTAGGTGGACTTTGACAGGAAGTTAAAAATGGTTTGTTTGTTTCAGAGGAAGGTTGACACACCCAGTCCTTTTAGCTGGTATTACTTACGACATTTCCTCTAATAGAAAACGGCTTTTGAAATGTTACCACTGACCTACACAGCTTTATGAACTACAGTACATCCCCTTAACTGTGGCTTTACAGCTAAATCACATGTTCTGATTCAGCCTGACCACAACTTCCCTTTAGCTAATACCGAAATTAGCAATTGCATGCAAATCAGCACATTTGGAAAAAGTTGATTTTGATTCCATTTCCAAAGACAGTTAAGATCAGCTGTATTTTACCTATAAAGCGTAGTTGAAGGAACAGACAGTAGAGATGACGGGAAACCAAATGTTGATTAATCCTGGCTCCATATTAATCTTAATTAAGTGCAACTCTTCTCAGATATAAAGAATATCTTTCAATTTGGTTTTGGTGTTTTTCAAAGTCTGACATGGACCAACACATTTTTTACCTCTAAGCAGTGTGAGATTTTAGGTAGTAATGAGTAATGAATTATGTGTCGGTGCAGGTTTAAAGAAGATACTTTGTATTTACATTTGAACATCAATAGTTAATATGGCTTAACGTTCTTTAACAGAAAAAAATATTGTATATTAAAACAGACATTTTCACGTCTTTTGAGAGTTTTAGTTCCATATACCGCCTTACACGTCTAATGCTTTTGGCTATATGAATGAATGCTATTTCATTCCATTATGTCCTAGTAATTAGTTATTCTCTTGTAGACTTTTCCATTTTAACTACACTCTTATTCCCATGTCTCTTGTTGTTGAATACAAAACAAACAAAATCCATCCAGTTTTGGAAATGGTTCATTGCCGCAGACACCAAGAATCTGTAATTCACATTCTCATCTATTTGATTTAATTGGACTTTCAGCGACATGCCTGTGGTCAAATTTACTTCTGAAGCCTTCATTTAGCGCCTCTCAGTCTCTGCACTGAGGGAAGATCTCTGCTTCTTGTCGACTGGCAACAAAAGTACAGTTTGGACAGATTTCTAAAGGTACTTTATGATCACACATGAAGTCAAATCATTTCATGCTGTGTTAAGAGGTAAACTTTAGGTTACAATTGGACTCAATCTCAACACAGAGTCCACAGATGCAACTTGTTTGTTCACACAATAATCTTAAACGTTCCATTAAACGTTGAAACTGCAGCTGCCACTCCGTGGTTGGCTTTACAACAACACGTAACAGCCCTGTAGTCTTCCTTTTGGTCGGGTTTTATGAACGTATTTCATGGTAACATTGGACTTTAAAGGTGCAGGGCCAGATTAACAAAAACCTTGTCATAGAACTGGCGAAGTGAAAAGATTAAATATGTGCATTTCCTCCTCCCGATGATTCATGTTTATATATCTGATGATTTAAAGTTTGCTTTGTAGAGTCTGAATTTATTGTAGTTTTACAATGATATCAGGAAATGAATGTTATAAACAACTGAACATAATCATGATTACTTTTGTCTGTGTGAGACAGGAAACACTTTTTTTTCATCCAACACAGATTTGTTTATTGATCATTCTCTATTGCTCATTATTATTTGACACATTTCAATTTTTAATCATATAAACATGAACGGTCAATCGTATTTTCTCTCTTTAAAGACTTCTCTCACAAATACCGAGGGATTGTGATTGTAAGTGTGCAACTTTGCATTGTCATTTGTACAAGTGGGGCATAAAAAGAAAAGTTAACATCAACTTTCTGTGCAGTTGTGATGCATAAATGTGATCTATTTCAACACTTAACTTTAAACACAAAAGTAGAGCTACGCAGGGAACACGTGGGCATCGGGTACACTTTAACGGCTCACAGATAAATCTAAACGTAGAATCGTTTTTGATGGTCACTACTTCTTAATCTACTTTGTGTCTGTTAGTTTGTCAGGAGCTTGCATGATATTCAAAAGCAGTAACAAACGAATGCAGTACCCAATCTAAAAACACAATATGTCTGCTGGACATCCATGACAGAGAGGTACGACACAAACCTCCTCCCTCACTTCCTGCACTCAATGCATCGCCTCACAGAGTGTCCACTCTTACTGGTCTTCCTTAAAGTTATCCTCAACACCGCTATTCATATGCCTCTGCACGTGGGATACTTCTCTCTTTTGGACATATCATGGTTCCCCCCCCCCCCCCAAAAAAAAAAAAATCACAGATGATGGTTGTAACAAAGGAACATACGATCAAATGACATATTCTCCCAAACAAACCTGACTACTTATTTTAATATTTAATGATGCATTTAGTTTCTCTCCTGTTTTTATTATAACTCATGATTTTCTCTCATCCATAGTCAGCAGCACCGCCCAGTCGTTCGTCAGACATAAAACCAGCCATAGGAACTATAGTCACCTTAAATTGACACAAAAAAATGTAAGAGCCACACCCAAAGTCACAAATGACCATTTAATACAGCCAATGTGTGAATGAATGGCCTTACTACAGTAAATGTAGAACACACGTAGACCTACTATTCCTATATGTACTCTTTGAACAAAGCCTGTATTTCTTACATGAATATACATTTTTTTTGTCTTTCCTGTCCTAATTTAGCCACATGATGTGTATGTAAAAGGTTATTATAGCTATAATAATCCAGAAAATGACTAATAAACCTTAATTTTCAGTATAAATATTATCCTCTACATATGAGTCAAGTAATAAATGACAGAAATCGTGTGTAGTTTGATGATAGCTGTTTGTAAAGGAGTGTTGGTTGTAAAAGAAAGCTAAATAAATAGTTTACCATCTTGTCCTGAGTTCTGGAGATGTTCTATCAGGTCACAGCCGAACACATTTTCACTTCCTTTCTTTTTGGACTTCTGCTTAGTCCCTTTATTCTTCATGTGGCTCCAGTTAGTAGTCCCGATGATTAAAACAAACAGATCCTTGGGAGCACAGCGATCGATCCATATGACCCCGACAGAGGTTGAGTTAGTAGGTCAGAAAAGCAGCCGCATAGAAATCCCAGCGAACGGCTCCGAAAACTCTGCATCCGCTCACATTCTGATTAACCACACTGTTGGAGGCTGAGAGCAGAAGTGACGTCACATTTTGAACTTTAAGTCCTTTAGATTGTCATAACGTGAAGTGATCAATGAAAATTCCTGGTGTAGCTGTTGCTCGGCTGGGACGTGGCAGTCTGTTGCTTTATCTCTGAAGGATTTGCAGAAACAGCATTAGAATCGGTCAGTTTCCTGTTGTTTTTTCTTTTAACCCCAGCCAGTCTCTCTCTGCTCCTTTTTTTATCTCCTCCTCTTTTCCTTCATTCCACAGTCTCCCCTTTTCACTAGCTCATCTGTAGCCCAGGAAGCATATGAACAGAGGCAAATCCCCTCAGGAGCATTGGTTTTTCTTTTAAATCAGATTTCCACTTTGAGATTTTTAGAATATTCTATATTTAGAGATGGACTCGTGGCAGGGATTTATGAAATGTTGAGACTGTGTAAAGAGGAGGGAAGTCAAGTGAGGGGAGGAGAACAGCTGACTTCTGCTTCTCTCCTGGTTTAGGAATTACTGACCTCCTCTATCCATTTTTTTTCATGTGTCCAAACTTGGAGCTAACGGGAAAGCTGCTCTCTGCCTTCCTGAATGCTCCCAATGTGTACAATTTCCTGTGCAAAGAGCCCGGGCTCGAAAACAAAAACAGACGGGTTGTGAAGGAAGAGGGAAGTGGGAGGTGACTGAAGTGAGGGCCTGAAGGGCACAGATGGGAAATGGGGGGGGGGGAGATGGATGACACACATGGTTCTCGTTACTAACTGCTATGCATGTTATGTTTTTCTTTTTCAAACCAGACTGCAACGTTATCACAAAGACGTAATCAAGGATTGCATTAAACGTACAGCTTTTAGTCATGTACCATAGTGTCTCTATTACTTCCTGTCTTTACTAAATGTAATTCATTTACATCCACAAACTAACCTGAGACAATTCATGAAAAACTCCCTGGGTAGTGATAACATATTCCTCTGATTTGTAGCTTTTTAACAGTTTCACACCAAAGATTACAGATCCTAAAACATAAATTCCATAAATTGAGGTCTGAATTTTTTTAGCTGTAACTTTCCCTGGGGTGATATTTAAAAAGCTAATCACTGATTGCAGTATATCTATGTTAACCCCTGTTGGTCCACTGTCAAACGTCTGACCACAGTGATTTACTGCGTTGGAGACAATTTATCTAATTCAAATTTTACACAAGAACTGGAGGCCGAAAAGCTGCTCTATGTTTGGAAACTTGGTTTGATTTGTTGGCACACTAAAGTCTAGTCTTACTAGCCTCATAACGGCACAACAATTATGGTTTCCAAGTCACATTTCTGTATATGAAAGCTTGGCATACTGCAATAACTTGGTGGCAGTGAAAACAAGCTGTGAAACAACACCGACAAATTATCACCTTTTAAGTTGATATAGCAAACTTATTTGCAACAGTTGCCCATTTAGACATCCAGCAGACAAAGGTAACTTCATTTGAAATCATGTTTCTTGCCACCTGATAAATGTAAGTCTAATATTCACTTTCTTTTAGCTTTGTTTTTGGTCTCCACCATTCCTGAGGGAAGTATCGGTCTCTTTAGCTGCAAAATGCTCGAATATGTTCACCAGCTAGTCGCTAAAATTGTCTGCCTGATGTTTAATGTTGGCCAGGTAGTGTAAAGTGTAGTGTATAGATAGTGTAAAGTGGGTTTATCAGAGATATTTTGCCAAAAATAGCTGCCTGATGAGGCCAAAAACGACACTGATGAGAGCGCTGAACCAAAATGGCGAAGTTGCAGTCCTGAAAACCAAAACAATGAGCTAACAGAGCAAAAGCATGATTTTAATGATTTTATTTATTGCTTACTTTTCCATCAAATAATAGTCTTTTGAGAAAGCGTGAACCAAACCAAGAAGCTTTCATTCAATCTAAAGCACAGCTGCATTGCTTTTCCATAAATGATTGCTCTCCTATTCAAACATAAAGATACGAACACCTCACTCTACATTCTTCACTCGTACAAGTTTACTACAGTATATTTACAAACGATAAAGCACACATTCCAGGCACCACTGGCATGTTAACATATCTGAATGGACTAGTTTGCAGTGCTCCGACTTGCAGAGTTGATATTTTGTGTGCTAGAAGTGTTTTGTGAAAGTCACATGTGATCTAGATGACCAGGCTTGGCCTCAACAAGACAAAGCTTTCTTTCTGCACTATAGGAAGAGGAGATGACATCATTCTGTCCATACAAAGCGTCAGACACCCCACTCTTTCTTTGCACTGGTAAAAAAAGAAAAAAAGAAGCTATGCTGAGAAGACAGTTCATTGTATCTGAATAGTAAAGGGGTTATTCTTGTCCTTACTTTTAGTACATGTCCTTTATGTCCTCAGAAGGATGCAGTGCTGATATATCTGCAGCATAGTTTAGAAATCACAACACATTACTTTTGTTTATGTGAAGATGAAAATTCAATTGTAAAACTGATTCCAGTTGCCCTCGGCTCTATAGTCGGCATATGGTGCTAGACAATTCATATTTGTCATTTAAATTAAAAAATCTGCCTTCTTTAGTTTACACATATGGTCCAGGCTTGTGCTGTGTGACGTCTTCCCACATTTCAACCAAACTAGACTTAAATAGGTTGTTATTTTGTTACCATGATGAATTAAGGCCACTGCTGTGCAAATTGCCAGGCAATAAAAGCACTCTTTTCATAGTTAACGAGGAGCAGAGACCTCACTCGAGAGGCTTTTCCAATGGTGGATTTTGTGCTCTCGGGGCCCCCTACTGGTCAGATCCACGTACTACAGGTTGTTACCATCGTGGTGCCAATTATATACAAACTACGACAATCAAAACATTAATTCTATAAAATATTAGTAGTACAATTAGTTATGGTATTCCAAATAACCTGGGGGAAGCTTTTTAGAGAGTTTGTTTTGTCCTAAAAATCATCCATATCCAATCATCAATCCATAGTCAAAAATATATACATTGTTATAAATTCAAGTGCACATCTTGTCGAATAAAGTAAAAACCAGAAGACAATTCATAAGAAAATACTATTTATTATATATGTGTTCTAAAGAGAAAACAATCCTATTAGAGGTGATGATCTGGGTTCTCCCATCAACACGCAAACATTCAAAAGTAATTGATTCATATTAAAATTAAAATAGAAAATGTCAGTGAAACGTTTGATGCTACAATATTACCTCAATTTTCTTGGTTGTGATATTTTTACAAAATCTTATTGAGAAGTTGTAGTTTAAAAATAGTTTTACATGTAAAAGTGTTCAACCCACAGGAGAAAATCAACCCTAAAACAATCATACACGTATGGAATGTGACCATGAAAGGAACAGAACGACCACCAACAACTTGTATAAAATCTATATCTAAAAACAAAGTCACTCTAACTCAAGAGCTTCCCAGCGGCTGCAGCATTCTGTAGACTTAAGAACAGTTATTCAGTTCAACGGTGTGACATGTAGAGCAACCTGTAGTTATAATAAAGCTTATGAATACATGAAGAGGAGTGGTTCAAGTAAACTCTTTAAATGTGTCACTATAGTTAGTAATATTGCTCAGTCTTGAAAGACGCGTACCATAAAATATTTTTTGGTCACAGTAAAGCTTCCCAGTTGTAACCTCAATTCTGTGGCTTACCAATGTCCACAGTAACGTTCACATAAAGAGGCTGCCTCTTGACCAGCATAGTCTTATATGAGCAGCTGTTCAGTCCGTCCTTTTTCCAAACCAGAGGTGTTCGTCCTAACAACCTCATCCTAGGAAAAAAATCAATGAAGAGATCACATTTAATTGATCAGTAATAATGTGCTGCGACAAGCACATTATGCCCATCTCTACATTTACTGACCGGTCTTTGTTTATTTCGTTGCCACTGTCCCGTTTGTGAAACACCATGGTGTAGCGAGCGAACTCGGCGGGCGGCCGCACAATCTTCATTTTCTGCAGCTCAACCCTGCAGACAGCAGAGCCACACATGAATCAATGGAGGAGAGCACTACATCTGCTCCAGATGTGATGAAAAGAACAATTAATCCTGTCTTCTCTTGTTTCTGTCTCACCTGATGCGAAGGTCGTCATCTTCTCCACCCCAACCCCAGTAAGTGTTTGAGAATCCATTCACTTGATAAAACTGGTCTTTGGTCATAGCCGTGACTCCTCCAAAGTAGCCTTTGTAACGCAGCCTGAGAGAGGAAGAATACGAAGAAACATTACTGTTCTTTGTTTGGATTTTATATCCGAGCTTTCAAGATAATATCTCGCCATCCGTTAACATTGTGTAGTTTATTCACATGGGTGATGTAAAGTTTGACTGCTGACTCATGGCTTGCAGTAAATGACTCTTCATCATATACTTACTTGTATCCCGTGGCATTCCTGCCGACCACCAGGTGTTTGGGCTGCTTGTCACAGACGTATAAATTGTGATCATTTTCAGGAACCAGGTCCACATCATGGAAGATAAAGCAATCCCAACTGTAGTCCTTCAGTGCTTCCAAATACCCGACATTGAGTAACTTGGCACGGTTAAAAGTTGCATCACCAGCCTTTAAAAGAACAGAAAACACAATAAAAGTTGAACAGTTGAAAGTTCAGTGTAGATGTCTGTGCTCTTCTGTTGTATCTGATGCGTCATTATGCTTTATCAATTAAAAAGAAGATTATTAATAGGTAGGAGGGTCGGAGTGTCGAGTACACTACAGAGCAGCCGCAGCTCAGAAAGTGATTTAATGCTACTTGTGTGGGCCAGTTATTAAATAAAATATACTTATTAAAATATACTTATATGAAAGAGTTAAATGTGCTTTATGCTGATTGATTTTTACAAATAATCCCCATGAACGCCAGAGACCGCCTCAGGATGGCACCAGGTGATCACATAGGAACCAAAACATTATAAAGTATTTCATACAAGGCAGAAAATGAACTGCTCTGGATATATATATATATATATATATATATATATATATATATATATATCGATGTGATATGAGACTAGATATCGTCTTAGATTTTGGATATCCTAATATAGCATAAGTGTCGTCTTTTCCTTGTTTTAAAGGCTGCATTACAGTCAAGTGATGTCATTGTTTACCTTTTGTTTGAGAAAGTCAGAGGAATTTGTTACAGTTGTGAGCTTGCATTACAACTACTTCAACTAAATAATAATACTAATAACAAATATATAAACACTCATTTGTACAACCTCAGTGCAGTTCCCCCGATATCATGAATCAATACTCTCAGTTCTATGAGCATGACACCTAAACATGAATGGGTTTTAAAACTGTGCGTGGTGTGGAGCCTGTATACCTGCTGGATGACATATATGGCGTAGTGTAGCTGCTGCCTCTGCAGAAAGGGGTGCAGGTGGTTCAAGAGGTAGAGGAGGTGTCTCTCTCTGCTGCGATGAGGGATGAGCACCGCCACGCTCTGCCTCGCCGTGCAGTCTGAGGGCTCGTACTCGCCTTCAGTCACTCCTTTGCTTTTACTCTCTACGTCCGTCAGCGTCAGAGAGGATTCAAAGGACAGCTTCACAGCTCCCTCTGTGGAGGTTAGCAAATTCAGCCACAGATGTGAGTCTCTGGGATTATACCGTTATAGGGGATTCATAGCGCAATAAATATCCCATTTAATCTACTTATTTTGATCCCTTTTCGACCCTGTACTGGACAGACAACATGTAGCCTCTACAAACGTGCTTACAATGCTGATAAACACGGGAGGAATAATCCCTGAAGTGTAAGCTTGTGTACAACAATTTTGAGAAACATGTACTTACAAAGCAAAATCTAAAATCTTCTATCATGCACAGCACAATCAACCATTCATTTTGTTTTGAGAAACTACGCACACTGCTGTAGTCGTTATGTTCAAGGTGACATCACAGATTAATGATTGGCACAGACCCTTATCTAGTTTATTATAGTAAGATAGCTACACTGTCATGCCGTCATTTTAAAAAGGTGGAGAACTTATAGAAAGAAACAAGAGGACACCATAAGCAGATAGATTTAAATTACAAATATAATACGTACGTAGCAATGGTGACTCCTGAGGGCATTCGATTTTTGTCGGTGGAGTTTTCAATCGATTGGGTGCCGCCGTCCAAGTGTTGGGTTTCTCAATCATGTCGGCTTTGACGAGAGGTTGTGGTGAGGCTGAGAAGACCTGACCGGATTTCACCGTTTCGCCTGAAAAGGTTGCGATCCATGCCAGCACCGACAGCGAGACGAAGAGCAGGAGAAAGTATTTCCCCCTCCGCAAAGTCTTGCACACAGGCGAATAGAAGCCCATAGCTGTGTGACTGCACTGATGTGGAACAGTAAAGGTGGCAAACTGTAGATGCTGGTGGTTCTAGTTTAGGATATTTCCTCTGTGCAGGACATTTAGGCAACAATACCGACAGCCACAGGTTCACTAACCGGTCATCCCATGGCGATCAAACATGATGCCGAAGTAAACAGTGAATCAAATATATATGATCACTGTGAATTAAGGGAAAAGTTATTGGTGAAAATCCATCGCTGAACCCTCAAAATCCAGTTCCAAGGACTTCAGTTCTCCGACAGCTGTTGATTGATAGTGAGAGACATGAAGTTACTGCCATGAATGTGCGTCACAATCAGTCTGTTACTACCACATGATATCATGTAAAACTGCACCCTGACAAGGCAGGTTCTAGTTTTAAAGAGATATCAGCAGTACTTTGCATGTTATCTTATAAAACAAATAAAGACAAAGTGTTCAGGTTCCTTATTTTTCCCATTTATTCTGTTACACACCACTGAAAAAGCTTTCTGAATGGTAACTTAACACCAGTAACTACACACCTATGCTATATACCTGTCTTTTGTCTTTTCCCCTTCACAACGTTTAGTATTACATTGCAGTCTCACTTTTCTCCTCACTTGAACAGATATATATATATATCAAATATCCAACGAGTTTTAATTATTGATTAATCTCTCGATTAATTAATTGACAGATCAATTAATCATTGTTCTAAAAGAATGCCAGATAAAATGTTGACCTCGTCAATTCACTTGTTTTGTCTAACAGGTAGCTCAAAAAGCAATATATTCAGTTTACAGTGATAAAACTAAATTAAACTGTAGGCCATGAATTTCAACACTTTATCAAATACAACATGAATGGAGGGACAGGAATGCGGATGTTACGCTGTAGAGTGTTGCCAAACAAACACTTCTGAGAAACATACCGTTATTCATATAAAGCTCCGTCGTCTCCTCATTAAACGTTACGGTCCGTGTTTTCTTTTAACAGTAAAAGCTCAAATATATTCCGCAACCTGCAGCTGCGCAAAGGTGAGCTCTCTGAGCAGAGTTAGCGTAGCTGTTTGCTAGCTGACGTATGCGGATGTTACTGTATAGTGCTGTAAAAGATAACGGTGCGGAGCTTGAACACACCTTGTTTTCCGTTATAATCGCTGATGTAACGCTTCAGATAACGTGGTTTGGTTGACGCATCTTACCTTTGACACGAGCTCACATTATTCCATGTTGCAACCCAGCAGTGTGTCAAGTCAATATAACTACACAATACTTCTGCTGGGTGTATTTCATACTAAAAGCTTTTGCACTAAAACTGCGAAAAATATTGATAACAATAAAAAAAACGTTTTCATCAAAAAGCAATGTATTCAGCAGATACCTCAAGATATCTGTGTGTTTTACTATGCTACTGAAACAAGATTAACACACAGCATTTTGAAGGCAGCATCAACAAAGAGGAAGTCATTGCTGTCTTTTAGGTGGCTTGATGCATAATGTTCATGCATGTTTTTTATTGACACTTCCGTTAAGTGGTTTTCAAAGTAAAAGCTCGTCGCTCCTAGTGACAATTGCTCTAACTTTGATTTACATGTTATTTTTCAACCTTTGTTTCATAAAAGAAATATATATATATATATATATATATATTGCTCCATGCTACTTTTCAACTGCATAATTATTTCATTTTAATATTACTATTTGTAGCACAAATAAAGCCATGTATATTCTGATCTGACTTCAGCAATTTGTATATGGATAAATTATACAAGCTCCTCTTGTGCCCAGGACTACGACTGTGACAAACATTCCCATCATGCAATACCCATCCTGCAGATCAAACACAGACAACAGCTGGTCTCTCTGGGCTGCACCGGCTTTGAGGATAAATGTCTTGTCCTCCTGCCAACAGAGGAGGTGGTTGTCCAGCTGCTCCTCAGCCTGTTTCAGGTCAGCTATATGACACTGGATGTCTCAGCATGTCATCCTCCCGTTGAGCGATGTGTGAGGTCCTGCAGTCCTCAAACGCCTTTTCACATACTTTTTATTGTGTTTAAATAGTAAAACAGAAACAGTGGGATGCATTTACAGTATCTTACTATTAATTGCTGTTGTTTTGCCCTGTTACCATTATATCACCCTTTATTGAGTTCATTTGATTATTAGTATCTTGTCTTGCATCTTGTGGATTTTTCTTAATGAATATTTCCTTGGGTGCAATTCCTAGGGTGGCATCGTCGAGCTATAAATGAGTCACACTCATACATTTAACCATACAAGTTCCCAAAGACCTTAGGGAATATTTTAGGAGCATGGACAAACAAAGTATTTCTCTTCTCAGCTCACATTACAGGACCCTTCACTTGGTAATTATGTGAAAAATAAGTACTCAAACCCTTTTCTTACAATAAGTAAAAGGGAAAATATACATAAGTAAAAGTCGTATTTAAAATTAGAACTTAATTTAAAAATCAAAATATACTTAACGTATACGTTAACGTTATTTTATTGTTCTATTATTACTTCATAGGCCAAGAGTCTTTTTCTACTCAGGAAATAGTTACAGCTTATAGTAACTGAGTTCTGAGTGGATCAGAATAAACAGTGCCTTCCCCAAGGCGCTCCTCCCTCTTCTCTATACCTCCTCCAAACTGTGAGGCCATGACTGTGTGGTGTAGTCCTATTGCGAGAATGACATTAACATGTGAGATAGGCCTGTACTGTTTGCAGTTGTCAGAGACTTGTGATAATTTCAAGCAGTGAATGTTCTTTGAGAGATCTACACCAAAATGTCCCATCGACCTCCATCAGCATGTTCATTGTTTTGTTTGGATCAGGTTTTTTTCTTTTATTCAGATCTATATTTCTGAGAGAATTTGAGTTATATATAAAAGCATATTGGTTGTTATCCTAGATTATACTTCAAACTAATTCAAGTACTTTCAGTTGTGTGAGCTGTAATACAACATTTGTCATTTTTAAACATTAGACAGAATGCAGAAAGGAGACTTTGTCTGGAGGGAAACCGAGAAATAAAGAATATCCCAAATAAATCCCAAATGATAGATTACGAAAGAGTCTAAATCAGAATAGGGACACTTAGACGTTGTGGTTTAGTCTGACTGTGATGACAGCAGTGACGCTTCTTTTATTAAACCAAACAAATATGTCTAATTTATATCACACTTTGTTCTACCCAAATACACCCTCAATAAGGTGGCATAGATTTGGCATAGTCGACGGACTTTACATCCGTATCTTTTGTTGCCTTGTCATTCACCACAATAGAATAGACGTATGGAACGTTGTGTCGACATCCTGTAATTGTGCATTTACAGTGTGACTCATACATCCTCATGTCTCGCTAAAAGAGTCTGGCTTGTCCTCTGATCACATATTGGCACACCAGGCATGTCTTTTGTGCTGACCATGGAGGGTTGTCTTGTCAGTGTACTTAAGATGTTAGATGGACGGACAGACAGACAGACAGACAGATAAACTAAAAGTTCACTGAAGCAAATAAGATATAAAGTCTCCAAAGAAAAAGCAACAACTTAAAGATTTAATGTCAGGTTTTTTAATAGTACAAAATTGTTGTTATTAGCTTAGTGTACGTCAGGGTTATGCTGAAATTAATAAGAGTCACAGGATTCAGGTATACTACAGAATATTATTTTGACTGGTCATCTGTCAGACAAATTGTTAAGAACATGGGAAAATGAAAAGGTTTACATGTAAATGTATTTAAAAATAAAGTCCCAAAACCCACCCCATTAATGGGTGAGATGAAGCTGATGTTTTTACACATACTGTATGCTATCACATCAGAGAGCTCCTCCTCGACTCCTCAAAGCTCAAGGACAGAGTAACTGTTCCACTGCCAAAGCTCACCCTTGGCTTGTGCTTTCCTGAATTCCCGTCGCAGTCATTGCCGTTGGTCTTGAGGCTGATGGATGAGGACGGAGTCGAGGCAGAAGATCCACCGATGCTGCCAGACTTTTTTCTCGCAGCTGTATTATGTTTCAGCGTAGCTTTTGCAGCCACTTTAAAAGCGTGGGCTGCGGTGCTGCATCGGACTTCCTCGATGGTGTTCCTGAAGGGTTTGAAGAGGATGATGTAGACCTTGTTGAAGAAGATACAGGCCAGCATCCCAAAGCTGGATGCCAGTATAGCAATGACCTCCACAGCTGAAACAAACTTGCCATAAGTACTAAAGTACGCAGGGATAAAAGAGATCCAGACAATAAAGAATATGAGCATGCTGAAGGTGATAAACTTGGCCTCTGTAAAGTTTTCTGGAAGTTTCCGTGACTTGAATGCAAAAAAGAAACATATAGCTGCCAGGAGGCATGTGTAGCCAATAAGAAACCCAAGAGCCATCACAGATCCCTCATTGCAGGTGATAAAAATGATCTCATCAATGTCGTGATTCTTGTAGCTGGAAGGAGGGGCATTGTAAAGCCATACCACACATATCATGACTTGAACAAATGTGCACAGAAACACCAACAGAAACTGCAGGTTTAATCCCCACCATTTACGATGGAGACTTGTAGGGATCTTGGCTTCAAATACCAGAAGTACTCTGTTAGTTTTCACAAGGATGCAAGATATACAGAGAACAAAACTGATCCCAAAGGCAGGTTGCCGTAAACGGCACGTCCAATCCCGTGGCTCTCCGATGAAGACGAGGGAGCTTGAGAAGCAACAGATTAGTGAGAACAGGAGAACGTAGGACAGTTCTCGGTTTGTGGCCTTCACTATTGGGGTGTTGCGGAATCTGACGAAGACTCCCATCACAAAGGCTGTCAAGAGCACACCCAGTACTGCACATATAGCCAAAGCTATCCCGAATGGTTCTGTCCAGGAGAGAAACTCGATTTCCTTCAGTAAGCAGAATGTGTGATTCCCATTGGACCAAGAGTTATATGGACACTTGATGCAAACACTGGCATCTGTATAGATAAAAAGAAAAATCATCTGTGTTATAAGTGCAACACTAGGTGTAACATTAGTGGATATGAGATTGTGAATGTTTGGCATCTCAATACCTTTATGATTACTGTACTCTCCATCTGAGCACTCAGTGCATTCAAAGCAGCATGTGGGCATACTGTCAATGATCCCCTTTCTTGTTCCAGGTTCACAGTCCTCACTGCAATTAGAGAATGGCACCTACAGGATGCAAACAGACAGAAAAGTGACATGAGAAAAAGCAAATGTGGTTCATTGGTGTAACATTTTTATTGAAAGAAGAATAGTGAGATGGAAAAGCGTGAACTATTTTAGGAGCATTTTATACTTTTCCTATGAAGTCAACACGAGAGAAAACAAACAAGAAATCAGGAGCAAGATGGGTAGTCTTTTGTTTTCGCAGGCTGAATGCAGTGGAAAGTTTAAATACTCACCAAATTTCAAGCATGAAACTCAGATATTTGGCACACTTTGTAATTTCTAAGTGTTCTAACATCTTTCATTTCGTTGTTTTGTTTTTTATATCCCTCACACTTACTGTTTGGTTCACTCTAACTGCTGAATGCTGAATGCCACTAAATGCTTCCTGCCCAGACAGTCAATGTTAGTGACTAGTAGTATTTGCTAACATGTTTGCCATAACATGTTCAAGAGGGATCAATGTTGTGTTTATAGTGAGTTCTGCCGCCCACAAGTGGACAAAAGAATCCAGTTGCTGCAGCTTTAAGTGACCCTGCAGCAATTGTAACAATGTACATTTGCAAAGATGTCAATGTTTCCCTTCTATGCTGTGATTACCTGCTTATAACTCTTACTAGATCATGCCAGGAAAAGGAAAATACACCAAATAACGGGGGGGACAATACATTAATGTGGACATCCTCTACAAAACAGTTAGACTGACCTCAGAACTGTATCCATTCCACAAAATCTTTGTCTTGTCAATGAACAGTTTGGCTCCTCTCTTGAAGTGCACGTTGTAGTATCCGACCTCCTCAAACACCACAGAGCCGTCCTCAGCAGACCTGTGCCAGTTTATAATGGTGTAGTTTGCTGCCAGGTCTGCGTTCTCATCAAAGTGCATCTTTTCCCCCATGCTGTTGGTGTAGTTCAAATGTCTGAGCTGCTTCAGGGCCTGCGAGGCAGAACCACACATTTAGATGCTTCAAACATGGCTAAAGGTACATCATTTGGTAATGAATTGCCTTGGTTTGGGGTTAATGTGTAACGTCTTACCTGCCATGCTTCCATTTTCTTTATATCTGCACAGGAATTGTTGGCAAAGAGTCCATGTCCAGGAGTGCAGGTGAGTATGTCCTGCAGGGCCTGTGCAATGGAATAAACTGCAACATACACGTTATAGGAGATACGAAGGTGTGTGTAGTCCAGGTACGGGGTCTCAACACTTGTGATGTCTTCCTCACCAGTACAACAAGGCCTGAAACTTGTGCTGCCATTCTCACTTTCTTGCTGTCTCAGGCTGTCTTCCAGATAACAGTTGAAGGTTTCTTCCCAAAACTCCCTGACAAATTCATTATGACTGTCTCTCTTTGGTTGCACTTGCTGCAAGAACTCTCTTAAGCCAGGAATATTCCCTGCCTTTAGAACGAACCCAATAGTCCCTGCTACAACACCAAGATACTCTGGTTTAGCGATAAGAGAGGAGCTAGCCCACGCTTCACTGGCTAACCAGATACGATCTGTGATGTTTCTCCTCGCCATCTCTTTGATTAAAGGCTCGATATCTGGGGCGCTGGCAAACACCACGATGACTTTAGCTGTGGAGTTCTCAATCCTGTCAGCCAGCGCTTGGATTTCATGATCCTCAAAATACTGAGAAATAAGTTCATTTAGGTGAATGCAGATGTCTCGCTCCTCCATCTCCTTCTCAAACTTTTCAATCCCTGGGCGTCCATATTCGTCATCTGAGGCCACAGCAATGACCCAGTTCCACTCAAAGTACCCAATGATGTCTGCCATGGCTGTGGCCTGGTACTCATCTGTAGGAATGGTTCTCATGAAGGACTTGTACTGATTCTTGTTGCTCAGTAGGCGACTAGAAGAGGCATAGCTGATCTGAAATGGTAAAGATTTCAGGTAATCTTTGATTATCATTATTTAACATAAAGGTTTTGTCATTTTGTTGCTAAAACACATCATCCAGGATGCATTACATTTCCTGTAAAATGTATAATCTATTGCAAGTACGTTTGCATAATATTCAGGATACAGTGTTGCCTTGTGACCAGTAATCAGTTACTCACCTGAGGAATATAAAAAAGACCCAGTAGGTTTGCGACAGCTGTGGAGACTGCGGATCCAGCTGCTCCGACTACTGCAATGGTTGCTGGGATGTGATCAGTGCAGTTGCAAAATTCATCTAAATTCAGGGAGTCTATCTTATTTTGGGCCACAAAACTAAGCGTAGCTTCCAGGGCTTTTGACACTGTGTTGCACGTGTCAAAGATCCTGTAGCCGAGGGTGATGTTGGGCAGGAGAGTACTGCTGTTGTTAATCTCATCAATCGCAAAAATCATGGCCTGTAGCCAACGGAAACCACGGAAATTGAACCTGTAAGAGCAAACAAGGCATGGATTTAGAGAATTTGAGCACACTCATTCAGTCTAATAATGTAAACCGGTCTCAAAATGGTACCTGACACACTGTGTGGACTCGGGCCGAGCTGCGAGGTCTTGGTCTTTGGATGCAACTCCAAAGTGTATGGGGAAAAGACCCCCGAGCAAAATATCACCAGTCATCTGTGCTCTCTGATGGGGCCCATAGGTTGAAATCACATAACTGGACCCCAACACTATCAGGTAATACAGAACCAATCTCATCTTTCTTTTCTTTCTAATGCGTAGGATTATGCTCTACAACTCCCCAGAGTGAAGGTATTTCTCAGTATTATCTTCTCCCATCAATCTGCCTGCTGCGCTGTTTTGTGTTATTCATGTTTGCACTGATGAGATTGTCTGACTGTAGAGAAAAAGGAAAAACACATCATGCTTTTTCAGTCAAATGGGCTACAGTCTGATGTTCAATATATTTATATTGAAAAATAAACATGCATGTAGAAAAGGAAACTTTGTTTTTAGTTTGAGATGCTTTTTATTTTCTTGAAAATTCATTCTGTGTGGAAAAAAAATCCACGCACTGAGCTCGCTTATAAGCAGGGAGAAAGGTAAGAATGGTGCTAGAAGCCGACATGACCCGAGGCTATTATTCTCTAGCAGGGCTACGCAGTTACATATGTTTATTTAAGAGTCTGGAAATCGTTTTTTTTAAGAGCTGACTTCTCTGGTAATGTTTCTAAGAAGAGATTCATTTTAACATTTCACACCGCAGTAATGCTGCAGTCATGCTGCTTGAAATATCCGTCTGAACTGAAATAGATTGTGGACATACATGAGTGAAGTCACACTCTAATGACCCTCCTTCTTTTAAGTGCTCGGTCTCATGCTGTGGCCAGTGAAGCCAGTCACCATGGAGAGAAGCCTACTGCATCTGGCTAATACTGCTGGAAAAATGCTGGGGCAGAGCTGTGATAATGAAGTGGCTAACGGCTGTAACAGCCAATGTTGGCCATATTACCAGTATTAGGAGAAGTTCTTTGCACAGCCTTTTAATTATATTTCATTTTCTTAATGTCAGCACTTTGGATGGGAAGCAGATTTTGCATTAAATTATCAATTTAAACAAAATGATTATAGAGTATAATCAAATAATTATCCATTGTCAAATGTAGTATCCAATGTCCCCCATGTCTTCTTTTTAAATAATGATAAAAAGGCCGAAATAACAATTCACAAATTTTTTTACCTGTTCCGAATTTAAAAAAATAGATAGAAACACACAAATGTTTTCAAAGCTATGTCAGCATAGAGTAATTGACTGTAATATGACCATCTGTTTTAAAAAACATTTAATTCATTCTTAATCAAACCTTAATCAAAAAGTAAGCTGACGATGGCTGAATTCTAACTCTCTAACAGTTATTCAGTGCTTTTTAACTCCAAAATAAAAACAATAAAAACATCAAACATGTAAAATGATACAGAATCAAACTTACCACCTGAACTCCTGAGTGCGTGATTTGAATGAAAAAGTTAACCTGCAGGCATAGACAGATTTTAAGGTCTTTTTCCTAAAATATCCAGGGTGCTGAATGATTTCACTGAACAATAGTGTGAGCTTCTGAACCTCTTTCTGCAGATGAATCATTAACAGGGAGAGGGATAGTCCATTTCCTTCAGCTAATGAAGTCTACTCAGTTCACTCCTCCTGAACTAAAGTCATCGCAACCTAAAGTGGGAGAGATTTAGAAATGATCGACTCCTACCGCATAACTACAGGAATACAATCGAACATGCTAGCTTATACTATGAGAAGAAAGAGACACGTGGTGAAGGTTGTCTTTGTCTACTGCCTTCATAAACGTGTGTAGGCCTAACTGAATGTTTGTCTGTATTACTACAAAACATAATAATTTCTCTTTCCAGCAAATATTTTATGTAGGTTTATTTTAATAAAAAAAAGACATCCAAATTGCTTCAGTGCCATTTTTATTTCTAACACATTTCTCAGTATTCTTGGCATGCACCTGCACTTAGATTTGATCCTCATGGGGTTGCCAGTCCAGTGATCATTTTTCCAGTTTAAACTTGTATTGCATTTTGCCAGAAGAGCTGCAGCATGATACCAGGAACCCCTGGAAGCAGTGGATCGCACCATTATGTTCCTCAAACAATTAGCTGCCTCCTTATGCTCTGATGAACGGGTCTTCAATTTGTTGCTGGGCAGATGTCTCCTGTGAAAACAATTTCACTTTACAACATGTTGACTTATCTGTGGCACGACCCAAAGCTGTGCGTCGTCGAGACATCGGGCACAAGGGATAAAAAGTCTGCTCTCTAACGTTACTCATAGTTTCTTATTTGTTTGAGTCATTGGAAGAAAGTCATCCACCTGTCCATCAGTAATAGAGTTTAACTGGATTAAGAAAAGCACAGTCAGACCACAACATGTAAGAGGTGTTAAAAAGTACTGAAAGGGTTTTACAGATTTTGTAGTTTCTTTGTAAAGTTACTATAACTCAAACTGAAACAAATCACTTTCTAAAGATTATGATTTAAGTCTTTAAGTGTAAAGAGAGTTATTTCGTCCAAATAAGCAACAAAAGGAGTAGTTGGACAAGGGGAGAGAGGACTGAGGGCTGAGAGACTGAACAGGTTTCAGGATCTTGAATTAGAAAGTGTAACTGAAACACTGAGTGAACAAAAGTGTGATTATGCTCAATCAGCTCTGTTAAACTTTGGGATGTTTTCACCCAGCATTGCTTTTTTTTAGCCCAGAATAAAATAAAAGAAGTTATCTGGAAACGTATAAATATTTTAACCTTGAGTTGAAGTAGTGATCATGTTTTCCTTGCATCAACATGACCTTTTTCTTTGTGTATTGTTTGAATTAGTTTAATTCATAAAAGCAAAGTCACAGCATCACTTAGTTCTCAACAGGGTCAATTTTTTGTGTCAATCAAGACATCAATAATTGTGTAAAATTCATTATGTTTTAATGCCAATCATGGTATTATTATTATTATGAATGTGTTTTATTTAAAATATGAATCACAAATGGGATTGTGGTTAATTTGTTCATTGTAAAAATTCAAGTAAAATCTGGGTAAAGGCCTCCATGCTTTCTGAAATGTGTGTTATTGTTTGACATTGCAGAAGTGCCCTCAAACAAATCATTCGTATCCCGTATTTTACAGAAATGGCATGTATGTCTGAAAAGTAACATAATGTGTCAAAAATGTAGAGCAGCAAAGAGTTCACAGTGAATGGATTTATCCTCACAAATAGCGTGTGGTCACACACACTGCGGCATTCAGCTGAAAAGGTAAGATGACTTTCTGATAAGAATGAGTCTATGAATCTACTGGATATGATCTCAGTTTGTTAGATAATATAATCATATGTCGAGCTCTAAATGTCTATCATTTTGAAATTAAATGTTATTAAATGACTCCTCATCTAGTGATTAATAATCGATACATCATGTATACAGTAAAATAAAACATTTACATTATTGGAGCGACTACCTACCTTCATTTCTTCCTGTTTCATAAACACTGAGCTTTAATTACTTACTGTGGGTGTTAGTGTGTGTTTGTGCTTGCTGCTTACTGAATGTGATGTACAAGGTCATAATTTTCTTCATAATGTCTTGGCTGAAAGACTTCCGCGTTACAGCAATTTTACAGCACAAATTGTAAAATGATATGATGGAATTGTGACAGTTTAATCATGGAAATGTAAATATTTTTTTCCTCTGTGTCTCTCACAATTTTTCAGTTTTAAATGATTACAGTATTTGCTTTTATCAATAGTTGAACTTGGACTCAACTTTTATGCAATGCAATTCCGATCAAATGGAATTTAATTAGACAAATACTGAAGATTAGAATAACATTTAAGTTACAAATGGTTTTATTAGTGTCTAACATTTGATTTGGAAAACGAGTTTGGAAACGTTCTGTGTGTTATGTTTGACTAGCTGTAAACGAAATGTTTAGGTAAAATCATGCTATTTTCAAACAACCGTGTACTGAGTAATATTCTATCTTTTAATGTCTTGTTTGTCTTTAAGCTCTTTTAAATTCAACATACATGCTTCAGCCGTTATTGTGTTGCTTTATCTTGAGCGATCAATGAAACCCGATGTCTTGATTAATAGGATGTCTGGTGCAAAGATACTGCTATTCCTGCAGAGCCTGTCCCGTAGGAAACCTCTGGACCCTGAAGGAGAGGTGTCCAACTTTCGGCGATGCCTGACCACCCTCGACCTGGTGGCCCTGGGGGTCGGCAGCACACTGGGGGCCGGTGTGTACGTGTTGTCGGGAGAAGTGGCCAGAACCGTGGCCGGGCCGAGTATCATAATCTCCTTCCTGATTGCAGCAGTGGCCTCCGTCTTTGCAGGACTTTGCTATGCTGAATTCGGAGCTCGTGTTCCCAAGACTGGCTCTGCCTACCTCTACAGCTATGTGACTGTGGGAGAGATATGGGCTTTTATCACTGGCTGGAACTTGTTGCTGTCTTATGTCATTGGTAAAGATAGTGCCACTCTCTGAATACATTTACTGCATGTGATGGGTGTTTATTAGTCATCTTGGAAAAGTATCTTGTCAATATTTCTGTCCTCTTTAACTTTCAAATGAGCCTCAAATCTAAAATAAATTGTTTTTAAGGGACGTCAAGTGTTGCCAGAGCATGGAGTGGGACCTTTGACGATCTCATTGGAAATGTCATTGCCAGCTCTCTGGGCAAACAAGCTGCGATGGACTTACCTGGATTGGCTCCCTACCCAGACTTCTTTGCAGCTGGCCTCATAATGCTCTTGGCAGGCAAGTTTCAGTTTGTAACCAAATGTAAGAGTTCAATATTGTAATTTATGTGTGGAAACTGAAGGAAATAATAGTAGATTATAACATTTTATGATATATTTGTTAATGTATATTGAGTATCTTTTTATGAACAAGGTTCCATTGTATTCATGACCAACTTTTATATTTTCTGTCTGTTTTCTTTCTAGGGATTCTTGCATTTGGTGTTAAAGAGTCTGCTGTTGTAAATAAGGTTTTTACAGCAGTTAACATCCTGGTGTTGCTGTTTGTTATCATCTCTGGAGTCATTAAGGGGGACATCAACAACTGGTACATCGGTGAAGATTCTCTCCTGGATGGATATGAGTATGGGTTCTTGTATTTTATATATAATGAAGAAAAATAAAAGTGTTTCCACCCCATACTGTGCCACACCAACATGTAACGTCTCGACTCAATTAGGACTGATGTTGTGCTTTTATGTGTTTAATAACAGTATTGTACAGTAACAGTATTATTCAGGCTGCTATTGTTGACCTTTCTTGCTAAATGTAGGTTTGAAATATGTATCGTTCATTGATTATCGTTGCATGACCAAGCATCAACATGTCTGCTCTTTGCAGTAACTACACATCCCTGAATGACACAAGCAGATATGGCAGTGGCGGATTTTTCCCTTTTGGCTTCGAGGGAACATTAGCAGGAGCTGCCACATGCTTTTATGCATTTGTTGGATTTGACTGCATTGCCACAACAGGTAAACTAACACTGATGTAGTACACTGCAAGACTGAGAGGGGATGCAGGGGCTTAGCCCGATATAAAAGTCCAAGGTTACAATATTGTGACATAACCCTAGTTCTATAAGCACAGGCAGAGTCCCTTAATGGCATCTATGGGTAATAATCTTCTCCAATCACGGCCACGCATTCGCCCACTTAAAATGTCCACAAGCGTAGGTGGCAAATCAGGACATGCATCCTCAAATATGTGCGGACCCCAGAGTATATAACGAAGCATACACTGCTGTCCTGATTGGCCGGCTGCACTTATGCCAATTTTCAGCAGGCAAATGCGGAGCCTGTGTGAGTTGGAACAATAAGTTACTATACAGTAATAATGTGTTATTTTCTTCAGGAGAGGAGGTTCAAAACCCTCAGAAGTCGATCCCACTAGGCATCGTGGCATCCCTCCTCATCTGCTTCCTGGCTTACTTTGGTGTGTCTGCAGCCCTGACTCTTCTGATGCCGTACTATTTGCTCAGTGTTCATAGCCCGTTGCCTGTGGCCTTTACATACATCGGTTGGGGACCTGCAAAGTATGTAGTGGCTGTGGGATCCCTTTGTGCACTGTCAACAAGGTATGAAACCAGCCAAATCAATCATTACTTGGATTTACCTTATTTTAAATTTCAATTTTAATTGGATGGTTTCATTCTCGGCTAACCTTTCTACTTGGCTAACATACAGTACATCCTGTAAATTAAGATAATTGGAATCACTATTACGGATTAAAACAAAAGCAAATAACATGAATAAACATTCCCACAGCTTACTAGGATCGATGTTCCCGATGCCCCGTGTCCTCTTTGCCATGGCCAGGGATGGACTTCTCTTCAGACCTCTCAGTAGAATGAGTGACAGACAAAGTCCTGTTTTAGCGACCCTGGCTTCAGGGGTTGCAGCAGGTAAAACTGGCAACACAAGTCATAATAATTTGAAAGCTTTTCTGTTTGTTTCTGAAAGATTTAGTCTGTTCCTGTTTTGAGCTCAGGAGTAAATGGTTTATGTAAACTACGCTTATTCTAAACATATAAATGTATTTATTTATTTTAGGGGAAATATTTGGTGAGAGGATAATGTTTTCCTTTTAAAGCTGTATCGTACAGAGCTGAGTAAATCTGCAGAGGGAACCCTTTAAACTGTTGGTGTCAATTAATGTATGCTTGTGGACCAACCTCGGGATAAAGTTATAGCTAAAATATGATTAATTGAAATGAGCATTGGAGGAAATTATTGAAGTTCATGTGAATTGCTCTTGTCATTATTATTCGTGTCTTTTCAGCTATCATGGCGTTATTGTTTGACCTGAAGGCGCTAGTTGACATGATGTCAATTGGGACCCTTTTTGCCTACACACTCGTTGCCATATGTATCCTCATATTAAGGTATGATTCATGATAATAAACATATGTGTGGTATTATTACTCTAATCGTAATAGTTACTATGTTTGTTTCGTGATGTTTATGAGTGGTGTTGGTGTCGTGGGTGGAAAATGGTTAATGAGCTGATAGTACACGTTGGTCATTTATAACAGCTGGCAGATACTTTCAGCTTCTACCTTAAGAATGCATTTTGTATTCCATTTAACTACATTCACTGACAATGACAAAAGATCATTAAGTAAGATGACATTGATCTGTATTATAGACTGGGATCCATTTAATTGATGTGAACCAGGAAAGACAAAGAAACAGGAATAAACTGATGCCACTGATCCCACGTTTGTCACAGCTTTATCAATATATATAATTAAATTATGCTTGAGTGCATTTATTTATATTTTCTTACTTTCACAGGTACCAAGCAGACCTCAGCGAGGATTCAAGTTCCAGCAAACCAGAACCCTTTACAGTTACTGAATTAATATTTCCTCCTTCACAAGCCACGTCATGGACATCAAAGAATGTGACTCTTTTAACTGTTTTTATGAGTAAGTGATCTTAACACCATCCTTGCATATTACACAGCATATAGATGATTTCCATTGTTAACAATCATTGGAACTTACATTGTTCTCCTCAGTCTTTTTAGCTATCATCCTAAGCCTCGTCATATCTGGGGCTGTGGACTCCCAGCAGGCCCTCGAGTGGTGGTGTTTACTTTGTGTCTCTATCATCATACTGATGCTGATCCTCATTACTTTAATCATCTGGAGACACACACAGAACACAACCAAAGCTGCTTTCATGGTATGACTCACCAAACCTAAAGTGCACATTTAATGATTTACATTAAAAATTACTCAAATCATAAACTTTGATTACCAAAATGTAGGAAATCAGTCCCAACGGGAAGAAAAAAAAATACCTAACCAGTAGCATTTCATATATTAAACTGCGTACTTCCAAACAGGGAAGTTTAGTTTTTATTTTATATTATTGTATTAATGTTTCTGCTCTTTCATATGTACAGGTTCCTTTTGTGCCAGTGCTTCCTGTTTTCAGCACCTTTGTCAATGTCTATCTTATGGTGCAACTTGGATCGGACACATGGATCCGCTATGCAGTGTGGATGGCAGTAGGTAAGTGAATCACCATCACTGTAAAATACACGTTTTCATTTACGCAAAATGTGCACAGGCATTGAAATAACAAATATGATCATAGGAGATGTATTTTTTCTTCAAACAGGTTTAATCATCTACTTCTGTTACGGTGTTAAGCACAGTGTGCAGAAACAAAGGCTCCAAAATGTACACAAACACGTCAGTATTCACAGCATCACCACCACTATAGAGCAAAGCTTTGAACCAGGAGAAGACTTTCATGGCTAAACAATGTGACGTGCGAATCATCAAGAAAAGCGAAATGCTTTCAATTCATTTAAAAGAAATGGCCAGTATGCATTAATGTCCGAATGGTGTTTGTTCATGAATTCAGAAAGTTAAATATGGTAAGATATATAATAAAGCATATTTGTATCACTTCTATCATCATGTCAAATGTAGTCTTACAATTTGTGTGGTATGCATGTGAAATAAACATGATATTTTAATTTTGGGGTAAGTCTCCACTTCTCTGTCATCCACCTCCTGTCTTTACTTCCACTTTCTATACAAAATAATAACCTTCTCCTCCCTCACTCATACAAAATGATGTCCTCTTTCTTTTTTCCTGCTTCTTCCTTTAAGCAATACTTGTGATAACGTTGTTGACCCATGCACATGTGTTTTAATGACATGCCACATTTATTTTCAACAGGTAATAGGACCTCATGAAAGGGGTGTTTTTTTTAAGAAGGGACAGTTTCAGTGGTACGCTTAGCTTATCATTTGGAAAACGAATTTACCTGAAGCACTGATTGTCCACTATTTGGATGCATTTGATTTCAAGAAGTTTATTTGATTTGATAGTTTAAAAAAGGCGACACCTGCTGGTCAAACTCGTGGTATTGCATTTGTATGGATGAATTAAATCTGAGACCATGATGAAAGTCAGAATTAGTCTGAATACAAGTGATTTGACTGTTTTCATGCTGTTATTTTGTTCAACACTGAGGCAGTGTTGAAACATCCCGTTTTCAAAACCAACGAGAGAGCTTCTCCAAAACGAATGGTCACGGGACGTTTTGTTGACGAGAGGCAGTGGTATCGCGATACTTCTGCTTCGTCGACGTCGCGTTGCGTAAAATGCTCCCGAGCGCAACGTCACTCACTTTAGCCAATCAGCGACTCGCTCTGTGGGGGAAGCGCATTGTTCAAAAACCAAACGCAGTCCGGTAAAATACATCAGCTGAGGCTCAGAGTGCTTCGGTATCGAGAAGAAGAAGTAGTAGGTTAGTTTCATGTAGCTTTGATAAACATACTTAGTATCTTAAGAACCTTTCACGTTAGATAACTTACTGAAATCCAGCCGCTCATCGCACTTTCAACATTCGGGGTAAGTTAAACGGTGGATGGCTAAGTGTTCTCTGTTTTTAGTATGTTCCTAGTACGGTTAACGTTAACATACGCATACCAGTTAAAGTTACCTCCAAATCGTGCAATGTCTTACATTATATATAATATTATTACGTTAAATGCCATTTATCTAAACGTAACTCGTTTCCTTTTTAAAACAAATATATAATGTTTGAAACGTGCTCTCCTGTGTTTGTTTCTGTGGTGGACATCCAGCACATAGCCGTATCCATTCTGTGCATCACGATTAAATATACTGTTGGTAGACGCCACGTCTTCTCCGAGTACAGCATATGCGGGCCTTTTTGTCGTGTTTACTGCCACTGTTAAAGAAGACCAGTGCAGCCTTAACCTTTATTATTTTAATTGATACCAATGATGTCATTCTTCTGCTTCAATACTAAACTTGTTAAGACAGGTTGATTTTCTTGTTTGAATAGTCTTGCTGTTTGGCTTTGAAGCAAAAAAAGTGTGTTCATCCAGTTTCTGTGTGTTTACTCAGCATGTCTCATGACACGCCCTCATTTTAATTAATAAGGTGGGTGGGGCACACTCACCTTTTGTGTGTGTGTGAGAGAGTAATTGAGACAGGTCTGATTGAGCATTATAATCTATTTATTAATTAATTTCTTTATATTGCATACTGACAAGGGCATTACATGCATTGCCTGGCTCACGGTCAGGGTTTGAAATGAGTTGTAATTACTTCATTCCAACTTCATACTCACTACAATGTGTCCTCTTGTAACAGGTGAGCATGGCGCTGTCTTTGTCCTCACCGTGTGGATGTCCCTATGACGAGGACGAGGAAATGGCTGTGTTTGAGTCTACGGCAGCAGAGCACGGAGGCCCGTCTAGACCGCGTCTACCTGAGATCTCTGTCATTTCCCCCGGCCTGGACACCTGGCCTCCCATTGCAGAACCAGTGAGTACCCCTAAGGTGTAACGAAAGCATTTACAATGCCTTTTATTAAACGTTTAGAAACTTATATTTTTTTACATTGACTTGCTGTCTTCTTCTTAAGGTTTTAAATTATTCAATATATGCAACAAAACATAAAGATGTTTTTAATTTGTGTCTCTAGAAACTAGCAGTGAAAGCTGCACCGGTGAGACAAGGTAGTTGTGACGAAGGGGACAAAGAGAGGGTGAAGGTTTTTCTGCGCATCCGGCCGCTTTGTGAGACTGAGAGTCAGAGGGGAGAAGAACAGGTAAGACTATGATTCTGTCAGCTGATTATGTGCATTTATTGTCTTTAGTACACCTGTACTTTGTGCTCAAGGTTCACTCTTCTTTTAGGGTTGTGTGGCTGTCCAAGATGAAGAGACACTCCTGCTCAAAGCTCCAAAAGAATCTCAGAACATGAGGACCGCAGAGAGGGGCATCACCCACAGCATGCACAAGTTTAGTTTCTCAAAGGTAGGCTCATGCTTGTGTGTTTTGTTAAATGCTAATATATTGCTAGTTATGGACATAGCAACTAATGCCTGTAATAAACAACAAGGAGTATCCTGAAGTAAAGCATATTGCAATAACATTTTGCATTTGTTAATATTTTCTATTTGAAGAAGAGGAGATGCCACATACTGATGTTTTCTCATCACCCATCTTTCATAGATTTTTGGGCCAGAGACCACACAGCAACAGTTTTATGAGTCTACAATGAAGAAGATGGTGAAAGATGTGCTTCAAGGAGAAAACAGGCTCCTCTACACTTTTGGTGTCACCAATTCTGGAAAGACCTACACTGTGCAGGGTAAAAAAAAAACAATAATCTTCATCAGTATAAAGCTCTGGTTTGGTTGTGATGTTGTGTTTGCAGCTATGTGGAATGATTGGAGATGCAAATATAGCATTCTCAACGCTCATGTGGCCAGTTAAATGCCTAGAATGTAAAGTCTCAAACCTTGACCTGCAGGCAGCGGTCGAGAGGCGGGCCTCTTGCCCCGGGCTTTGGCATCTCTGTTCAGGAAACTGCAGGGTCGCCTCTATGGTGCCTTGGACCTGAAGCCTGTCATGTATCAGGATGTGAGACAGCTCGACTCCGGTGAGGTCAGGGTGGAGGAAATCCGCAGAAACTCTCTGCTCAAAGAGGTAAACAGAAGAGCAAATTCTAAAGGTTGTATGAAGTTGATAATGTCATTTTCTTGCTACATTGTGTCCCAGTGTCTTATCGATGCCAAGTATACAGCATGTTAATAATGTACTTTTGTAAAATTGTCATTTTCAATATCTAACTCGTCCTGAACTCCTAGAATTCCATCTAGTTCAATGTCAACCAGCCTGTTTCAAGAGTATGTGCTCCAGATATAAAAAGCTTTCTATCTCCAAATATATCCACGTACCTCTCTATGGAACGCAAATGACACGAACAACCAAGGAAGTAGTGTCAAAATAGTTTGTCTTAGTAAAGGAAAAGAACTCTGAATTTACAACTTTCAGCACCCTTTGCACATCAGACACAGGAAGAGATTGGATCTTTTAATACAACGTCTTAAGTGTTTTTTTTTTTTTCTTAATACTCCTAAATGATTAGAGTGTCTTCTTGCACAAAGATATGAGCTGACGTCCTTTGTTGTTGTTTGTTACAGGATGGGAATCTGACTTCTCGTCGAGGTGGTAACTCTACAGTCTGGGACAGCGGCATTGGAGGACTCTCCTCTACAAGTAACTTTGCCACCCAGCTTGAAGGTGAGGAAGACATCAGTATGTCCCAAATGAAGACACATTTGAGACATTTTAAAGTCTGTCACACATTTTTCATGTACTTTTACTGGGAGTGGAAGTACGTTTAACAGCATAACGCATCACATATTGTCGAGGAGAATACCAGTTGCAGTTATGAGGGGGGGTATAGTGTAGGAAATCTTTGTATGGTATTGTTGAACAATTACAGATGACGGCATAGTACGAGACAACACAAAAGTGTCAACAAGATTGCTGTATTACTCGTGCCTAATTGGATTTAATTTGTAGTGCGCCATTGACGTAAAAATGTTCTCCGTTGACATCTCTAATTCAAATCATTGCTGCCGTTGTAAAAGCCTTTCCTTTTAACAAAGACCATCACACATTGATTTTGCAGACAGCGACAGTGTTTGTCTGGAGCCCGACAGCCTTTCACACAGTGGAGCAGATGATCTGGCGGAGGGGGTGCAGTTTTCTATCTGGGTGGCCTTCTACGAGATCTACAATGAGTTCCTGTACGACCTACTGGATGCTTCGCCCTCCCTGCAGCCCAGAAAGAGGGTCACGCTGCGGCTTAGTGACGACAGGCATGGCAACCCTTATGTGAAAGGTAACGCTCACTCCTTCACATGGAATACTGTTTCTAAAATGTGAAACTGTTTAATTAATATGGTGTGTATATCAGTTTGAACCTTGTGAAGCTCAATGCAGCTTCTCTCCTCTGATGGATGTTACATTTAATTAAGCAGGAATTTACGTTAGAAACTGTAGACTTCTTCTTTGGGTGCAACTGAAACGCCACCATATAAAAACGCTGCCATAGATGATAAAATACGTAAACGGCATGTTTGATTTTTTGATATAGTGATTAATACTTTAAAATCTGTACAGTAGCACTTAAAAGAGGTTTTGTTTTTGCTGCTGCCGCCGTTTCTTGTTTACATTCTTCTGCTTTTTCCACTTGTTATCTCAGACCTGGCCTGGATCCATGTCCGCAGTGCCGAGGAAGCTTGGAGGATTCTGAGGGCTGGACGTCGTAACCAGAGCTTTGCCAGCACTCACCTCAACCAAAACTCCAGCCGTAGGTAGGAGCGCGTTAAACTTTTGCCATATTTTTGACAAATGTGTCTGGCGCACACTCATTGCAGTTCTAATAATAAACGTGTCGCCTACTCAGCCACAGCATGTTCTCCATCCGTGTCCTGCACGTCCGCCCAGAGACGGACTCGGCCCAGGCCACGCACATCAGCGAGTAAGTTCACCTTTAGTTACCGACTTTAAATTTGTGCTTTGGTTGATTTTTGGTATTTTTGTTTGAGTTTGCAAACGCAATAAAACGGTGCTGCGTCTTGCGCTCTCTCCTCTTTAGACTGACTGTGTGTGATCTGGCTGGGTCTGAACGCTGCAAAGAGCAGCGTAACGGTGAGAGGATGAAGGAGGCCAACAACATCAACACGTCCCTTTTGACACTGGGACGCTGTATTGCTGCTCTGAGGCACAACCAGAACAACAAGTACGTGTTTAACCATAACTTGGAAAGACGGTACACCACCGGTGAACTCTCTTTTTGATGTGTTACCAGTGGTGTAGTAAATTATGAAAATGTACATAACTCCTCGAGTAAAGTGACAACTCTGACATCCCCAGGTCGCGACCCCCTCAAGTGGTGCCCTTCAGGGACAGTAAGATGACCCGGGTCCTGCAGGGTTTCTTCTGTGGCAGAGGAACTTCCAGCATGGTGGTCAACATCAACCCATGTTCCTCCATCTATGACGAGACACTCCAAGCCCTCAAATTCTCCGCTATTGCTACTCAAGTAAAAAAAAAAACAAAAAAAAAAAACATCTTGTATTGTACAACTTCTGACTGATTAAGTCTTCCATGTAAGACCAAAGAAACAGGAGAAATAAAAGATTCCTCGTATCATTTCAGCTGGTCCATGGCCCGTCCACAAAGACCCGAGTGGCCTACATCCTGTCCCTTCTGCGTGAGCCAGCAGCAAATGGTAACGAAAGCACAGTGATGGAAGAAGAAGGGGATGAGAGTGATGTTGAAGACGGAGATATCACCATGTTGAATACTGAGGTAAGTGCCCCTGACATCATATGTGATAGTTACATATTTATTACACAACTACTTCCATACCCAATTTTCTTTACTTTACAAGGCTTTCTATCACTAAATCTATTAAGCAATCACAAAAAGTTGCCATCAAGGCTTTCAACGGTTGTGTTTTGTCTACATTGTGTCTTAAAGATCAACTAAAACCAGTTCATTTTTTTAAACCCACATTATTAAAAACAGCCACTTGTCCAATGTTCCTAATTGCCGACTGTGCTTTATTTAGGCTTTGCTGCAGGCCATCGATGTCCTGAAGAGAGAAGTGCAGCGCCAGCGGGAAGAGAAAGATGTTCTTGAGGCAAATGTGAGAGAGCAGGTGGTCTCTGAGATGATGGAGGTCATTTCTGGGATGCAAGACGGCTTCAGGTGCGTGTCTGCTTTGTTCAGATCAACTGTTTTTAACATAGAACACAGTACATGTAAAAGATAATGACATAAAGAATTGACATACAGTATGCTAATAAAGACTGTGTGTTATAGGGAACTAGCTCTAATGATATTACTCATAATAAATAATGCATTGGGTTAGTCGCTCAAGTCATTCTCTTGTGCTTTATTTGCATCCATCATTTCCATTCCTTGTATTTTTTCATCAAAGACATTGCCCACAACAAGAAGCTGAAATGTAAAAATTATGAGAAATGCTGCTCTTTGAAATTCATGCAGATAACAAGTTGTGTTGTCTTCTTGCCCCACAGTGAGACCTTGGAGGCAGAGAGGTCTCTAATCGAAGAGAGGTACGAGGACAAGTTAGCCAACGTCCAAAAACATTTGAAGAAATTCTACAGCCAGGAGCTGAAGGTGAGCGCTGAATCTTCAGCCTTAAGTTGGCATTATTTCAGGCAGTCTGCCCCCATGGTGTGATTTCAATACACACACAATCTGTTAAAATCTGCTCTTCAGTTAAATTATATCTTTCCCCAAATGCAACGTGTATCCGCAATGTAGTTATTTTAATAATTCTGTTGTTGTGTCCATGCTCAGATATTTTTTCTTTTCACCCTTTCTGTTAGGAGCGTGATCAGGAGATTGAAGCTTTGTCTGAGGCCCATGATAAAACCAAGGCAGCTGAACCGGTCCGCATGTCGGCGCCACATGGAGACTCTGAGGGGCCTCGGCGCTCTCAGCGCCTCACTGGTCAGGCAGAATATGGCAGACTGCACGTTGAGCTGGACCAGTGTCGCGCTGAGCTGCTCGCCAGGACACAAGGTGACTGAAACACTGCCCTGATAATGTGTTGGTGTTCGGACGTTGTTGATGGTTTTGACCGTCTTGTTCTGCTTGCCTGTGCAGAGCTGGCGAAGCTGAAGATGCAGCTGGAAGTCCCAGGTTCAACCTGCACTGTCACCAATGCTGCTGACCGCAAGCTGGAGGACGGTCAACGGGTCAGTTACCGCTGTGCCGTATGCAATGCACCATTGATTTAGCCGCATGCGAGTCTCTTTGTCCTCAGGAAAAACTAAAATCCTGACTCTTTTTTTCCCAACAGAACCTGCGTCAGTTGCGTCTGGATTTGCAGAGGCTCGGGGCCGACCTGCAGTCCGGTGAACGAGCCTGCTGTCGCAACACGGGAGGCGAACGGCTGCGACAGGCTCTAACGGCTGCAGACGAGACACTGGCCAAACAGGTAGAACCACAGATATGTATAGTACAATGTTATGTCATTTGTATTTTTCTGAGCTTATTCTGTGAAATCGTGTGTAAGGGTGCTCGACCGTGTATTCTGAGAAAAGAAGTCCGAAAACAAAGTCTGCAAAAATAAATGTCATGGTGGGCTATAGAAAGCTCACTTTAATAATGCAGCTCTGAGGTTAATCATTCTTTTGTTAGTGTTTAGTTACTGCAGACTTCAATCAAATTGATGAAATACAGGTTTCATTAATCATTTTTATTTGGATAAGACAAATTTCAAGCTGAAAATTCTCAATTTAAAACACTGTTTTTCTCTCCCTCTGCTCTCTTCTCTAACAATCTTAATGCACAGCCAGCTTTTAAACTAAATCTAGGTTTCTAACCTCTGCACCAGGTGATTACTGTGCAAAAGCATGTTCAGGGGCTCACTTTACCATCTCTCTCTTAACCTCCCGACCTTATCCTTCACTTCCCCCTCTGTGGTCTTGTCTAACCCTATTTACTGACTTCTTCTTAGGACCAAATCCTATTGGACCTCCAGAATGGCCTAATGCTTGTAAAGGCTGACTTGAGGCGGAAAGCAGAGACCCTGGCCCAGACCCAGGCCTTCCTGCCCCCGACCCAGGCCGTCCTGCCCTCCATCACGCCAGGTTCCTACAAGAAGAGGGGCTATGAGGTCGCTGCACCAAGTGACACTGAGAACCGGCCGCCGCAAAAAAGGCCCCTTTTCCAGCCTTTGTTCCCGACATGTACCCCAACGCGTAAATACAATACTCGTGCTGCCGAAGAAGCAAACGTTACACCGTACTCACGGATCTTGCGGTCTCGCCAGCAGTCTCCACCTCGCAGCCCTGCCCCCACCCCTCGTAGTCTCAGGGGGAAGTACTGAGCTCTTTGGAGCGTCAGCTGGAGTGTGTCCTCTTTGATATTATGCAAAAAAAAGTTTAAGTTTAGTATTTTTTTCATATTATATTTTATATATTCACATTTTGAAGTGCAGTTAACTCACTTGTTATGCCAACTACCGCTATGATGTTCATGCCAGTGAAACGGTTTAAACATGCTTTAAATAAGGTTTCAGTACACTACAAAGTAAGGAAATGAGGTGCTCTTGATCCCAGTGGCTAACGGATATAGACTGTATGTTAAGAATGGTGCATGTGTGTGTGTGTAATTGGCCTTCGATGTGAGTATGTTTGTTTCTACAATAAAGTCTATGAAGACATTGTCTTTGGTGATGTCGGCACTAAAGCAAAAAATGCATTTTATTTCCAATACTGCAGGATAAACGTTTTATGTTCTATGACAACCATAAAAATGTCAAAGGTCAGTTTAGTTTGCCATAGAAATGTTAGAATAGTAAGCCATGAAGAAATTCACAAAAGTAATACTATAGAATGTCACAGTATAGGATGTCGTGACATTCTCATGCCATACTTTATTGTACTATTTTTATGACTTCCTTTTAATGAAACACTTTTCTGTGGAACTTTAAGACGATTGTCGTACGGTATGGCCCGATGCTTGTAAAGTCTGACTTGAGGCGAAAAGCAGAGACCCAGCCCGTCCTGACCCCGCTGCCCTCCTCAGGCTGTGGTGCACCCATCACACCAGGTTTCTGCAAGAAGAGGGGCTGTGGGGTCGCTGCACCAAGTGACTCGGAGAACCGGCCGCTGCTGTTGTGCCAAATACCGTTATGTTCAGGCCAGTAGAATTGTTCAAACATGCTTTAAATAGGGTTGCAATACACAAGTTGGGGGATTGACGTGCTCTTGATCAGTAAAGCTGAAGCTAGCTTTACTGATCTTCCTGCAGCAGTGGCTCATAGATATGTTAAGAATAGTGCATGTGTGTAATTAACTTTTTTTACAATAAAATCAATATAAACATTGTTTTGTGTAGTCTAAGCAGTATAGCAGAAATATTTCCATTTTCAGGAGATAAATGACAGAACAGACTGTCCTAACAGGTACGCTTTATTTAAACAATTTACATGTACAGCAGTGATAACACATGACTGCAAGTCAAAATATGATGCCGTCTTTGGCAGTGTGTCTGTGTATACACACAATGTAAAAAAGATGTCCTTTTTTGTTTTCACATTGTTGAGTTAGCTTTAGATTATACAAAAGCTACATGAGTCTTAAAAAAAAAAATCTACTCAAAAAACCTTATTAGGTTCTGGGAGTTGTGTACCTCAGGCTCACCATCCCAAGCGTTAATTGAAAGAGCTTTGATTTGTTTTAAATTTGCAGCATAGAACTCGTCTTATCCCGGACAAAAATGATCAGGATTGAAAATGTTACAAACATTATTTTAATGTCATTAACAAATCTATGCATCAACAAGTAAATCCTTCCAACACTACCTACCCACCAAATAGTTGGGATACAGAAATTGTCCATTTTAAAGCCAGTGAATAGGAGGGCGAGTGTCAGGGTGTGAAGGAGATGAGGTTCAGCGGCGACACCCTCCTGACGGGAGTGTTGTTGTTTGAGAGCGGAGCGAACAGATCTGCCGACGGCGTCTCGGTCTGATCTCTGACCTGTGAAATCTGCCTCAACAGAGCCTTTCCCTCCTCACGCGCCTGAGAGCAGAGTGACCACAGACACCAGTTTAGTGTGTTACTTCAACTTGCACTCTACTACAGGAACTAGAACACAGGGCTCCCCATTGTGCAGGCACACTTACATCATTGTAGTCACAACAGCGCTGGGCACAGAGGGACGCCTCATCGTAGAGCTTGTTCTTGAAATAGTACTGACCCAGGTACCGCAGGGCTGTGCTCACCTCCGCATGCTCCAGTTGTTCCTGTGATAACAAGGATACAATACAAGCATGTGGTGAGATTATTGAACATCTCATTTATTTATTATTATGATGTCATTAATTGTTACTAAGAGGATAAGATTACAGCCCCACAGCAAAACTACACATAAGTGTGTGTGGATGGGAGCGTCATAAATCTGCATTATGTATTCTGATATACTTCAAAATGCTTACCCCACAAGAGAAAATGTCTTGGATGTAAAGCATGTAACACTGGGCAGCATCATCCGACTCGGTCAGCTGTTCATGGAGCCTGCCGAAGGAATAAGCAGATTCACATTTAGCTCCTATTTCTGGGTGATACAATAAACATGTTGCGATACGACAACGGGGGAAAAACGGCTTATAGGATCTTTAACTTGTGCTTTAATGTTTAAGAATATGTGACACAAACTACTCAGTTTTTAGACCATATTCTCTTCACTTGTATTTCCTCAGGATACAGTAAAAGACACTTACTTTGCCAACTTCAGTAGAGCCATTTTCTCTACATCTCCAACAGAGTATGCTCTCCAGTAACACTAGACAAAAATACAATGTGTCAAAAACAAGCCGTGAAGCTTAGTGAAGTTATTACACAAACCAGGAATCACTGACGGGTGACATGCGTACCTTCTTGGCTTCCACTTGCTGTGACAGTTTTTCGTAGCTTTCCCCCAGCGCGACCAACATACGCGAGTCATTGGGCCTACAAGAATACATCAAAGTATGACAACATTAATATTGAGCATTTGGTTTATGGGCATGCTTATTTTAATTCTTAGTAGCACGTGCATAAAACATATTTGTTGTTGTCAAACTCCATACCTGAGCTGGTGAGCCTTTCGATAATAGTACAAACAGTAAAAGGGCATCTTTAGGATCTCATATGTCTGACCGAGGCCATACCAGGCACGGTAGTCCCGCTTGTTCACTTCAATGGCATGCCTGAGAGGAAGAGCATACATGAAAACAAGGACACAACACACAGCAACAATACAGTTGTTGTGAATCCTTCACACTGCTGTGAAAGGTCTGGCAAGAAGTGAAAACTCCATTTACACATTAAAAAAGGACCTACAAAGACGTAAGCTTTTTATCAACTGAGAAGAACACTGTGGACCAGGTCTACACCAACATCCCCCATACCTACAAAGCTGCATCTCAGACCATGTGTCCCTGTTTGTCACCCAAGTATATAAATCCTAATCGTCAGATATAAACCATCTGTTAAAACGAATTGAGGAGGCAACCTCAGCACTGCAGGGATGCTTGGACATCACAGACTGGAATATATTTGCTGAGGATGCAGACCTGGTGGGACACATATCAGCCCTCCTCCTACATAAACTTTTATGTTGCAAATGTGAGTCAGCTACAATTATCTCTATAATGAACAATAATGAAACAGCCTGAAGGGAGGAGGTCCGACGCCTGGCTGAGTGGTGGTCCCGAAACAACCTGGACCTCAACTTCTCAAATACAACGAGACCGAGATGATACTAGTCATCGCCACGGCCGTCCTGTGCGTCTCAGGTTTACTTCTAATGTTACGCACTGCTTAAGAACCGCCAAACATTCATTGTTCTAAACACATTAAAAATAAAGATCTATTCTATTCTACTACATCTTCAGTCTGACCTGTAGGCCTGGATGGCAGCTGACGTGTTCTTCATTTCCATGTATTCGTGGCCCATGAGGGTCCAGGCGCCGAGGCATCGAGGGTTCAGTTTGAGGGCCCGCTGGAAGTACAGAGCCGCCTTCTCATGCTGAGAGCGTAAACTATAATAGTTACCTGCGGAGGAGACATAACTTATTACACAAATTGCTGTAATTTAGAATAATGACTTTAAAATCATGTCTGACAGGCGGACGAATCTCGAACATAAAGTAAAAAGAGCAAGTCAATGCAGCTGTGAAGCTGTAACCAGACAGAATTACAAACAATATATGACGAGTTATAATATATTTTAAGCATTCATCAACCAATTCTCCCATCACTGGAAAAATGAAACCATTAGTGTTGATCTCTGCTTACCAATAACACAACATGTCTCTACTCTGTACTTGTCAATCTCCACCAGGTTGTGGGCCAAGTAACTCAACTCTGGCTTCATGCTCTGTGGAAGCAACAGAAAAACAAATAAAAACACTTCCTACACAGATCCTACGCTGAAAACTTGGCTTACAGGGGTCAAATAAGAAACATCAAGATAATATAGAGAGGTGAACTCACTTTGACATAGAGGAGGTTGGAGAATGTGTCCATGTTGTCAATGCGATATGGATCCTGCTCCCTCAACTCGTTGAAGAGAGACAAGGCCTGGTCAATATCTGAAATGAACAGAGCCCGTCAGACTCACAATCTTCCGAGAGGCGAACGTCTTGATGAAAAGGTGGGAAACAAACCTCGGATGTTGTGGTAGGCGACAGCAATCTGTGAGATGATGTAGGTGCTCTTAGAAAAGCCGGCCTCAATGAGGTTCTGGTATTTCTGCAGCGCTTCTTTGATCATCTGCAGCTCGGTGTACATGTGGGCCATGAAGAAGTCCTTAATCCAGCAGTCTGGGAGAGACAGTGACTTCAGCTGGGGGACAAAAAACAAGAGATCGAGGTAGATTAAATAATTTCCGTCCATAGAATTGCCTTTTTAAAGTATAGTTTAATGGTCAGGAGGGTGTTGTGAGGATTGCTGTGGACCTGGGCACATATAATTCATGTTATCTACAATTTGTGTACATGTAAACACAAAGGTAGTTACCATTTCAATGTTGGTGACAAGGTTACTCAGCTCCAGCCATGCTCCCCAGTGGAGGGGAAGTGAGTGAATTGCCTCAACAAACACCTCCACCGCCTCCTTCAGCAGATCAAGCTTCCGTAGCACCACCCCATACCTGTATACCCACAAACACACACACATATGCAGTTTAGGAGCAGTCCATTGTATTCCTCTGCATGGCCTGAGGAAAGCATGTACACACGGGAGGAAAGGTTCTTACAGGTACAAGGTGAACCCGTCCAACTCTCCCACATTGTGCTTCTTACTGAGCTCAACCCTCAGTTCTCGCAGGGCCTCATTGCGCACCTGACCCTTCTCCAGAGGACCTAGTTCCACAGAGAAAAACGCAAAAAAGGTTTAGTGTTAAGGGGAACAAAAGTACTCACAGTTCTGTTTTAAATGTCCAAACAGACGAGTCCTCACCCAGGCTGTCCACAGTCTCATCGTCCTTCTTCTTCTCACCTGACTTAAGACATAGAAGGACACTTTCAAAATGGTTCTCAAGCAACACAATCATAGTGAAAGCAGTCTCGTTATGAAGTTAAATCAAGACTCAGAGGATGTGGGCATGCCAGGAATGTACAGACTCTTACCAGATAGCGAGAATACATATAAAGGAAATAAGCCTTCCGACTGCAGCAGCCTTTCAGAAAGTAAGCAGAGCGGTCGTACTCTTTCAGGTCAAAGTAGGATTTGGCCAGTGTAAGTGCATCCAGGTCTTGTGCGTCTTCCTGTATTTGTGAAAGAAAATGAAAAAGAGAAAAGTCAAATTCATTCAGGAAATAAAAGGATTAATCTCATTTAAAAACAAAAGCACTTTCATATGGTGGCAACTGTAGGAGCAACTTCTGAACACATGACTAACAGGTTTGTCACCAGGGGGCAGTAGAACTTCTCCCTTGCAGACAGATGGACAGAAGCGATTAACATTAAATAGCAAACCAAACATAAGAATGAAGTGCTGCAGCTATACTGCACATATCATTTACTTCCTCCTTGTGCATTACAGTTGACTTTAACTTTTCAACGCTCAAAAGTGTGTTTGCTTGTTTGTGTCTTTATTTTTCTTGTTGTATACAAATCCCCTGAAAAGATCAAAACCGGATTTAGCTTATTCCTCTGTTGTCCAAAAACAACTAAATAAAACATCAATAATCGATGACACCATTCTACATGTTCCTTTATTACGAGGAACATGTGCACTGCAGTTTATTTTGATGATATCCCACATAGAATCTACTTGTGAATGAAAATTGTTTAAGTCTCCAAAGAATTCACTATTTACTACCGTTTGAGTGACATCTGCAAACAACTACGGCTAACAGCTGTTTTAGGGAATATAGTGGGCTCGCCTTTAGAAAAATTAAACTACATATTTAGGGTTGAAGAACGAATTAAACATGAAACTTGCCTAAATAACTGGAAATGATGTGCAAGTGCTTTCCAAGAAATATGGCTGTAATTTATACCCCAAAACGCAGTTTTGGAAAGGCCACGCCCCTCACACCGCAAGTTGAATACACTTGAAACATAAGATGCAGCACCATATAAATTCAACTGACTAGATTTTCTGTAATTTTGACATCTTCTGAATCAGCTGAAGTGACTTTGCTCATCTTCGTGAAGCCTGAAACCCACTCGCTGCTCCCTAAACACTTAAATCAGTAGCAACGAATGGGGTTGGAGGGCCATTGGCGGGTGTTAGGCTGAATTTTTAGGAAATGTGTATAATATGGTGCACAAAGAAAATCTAGTATATTTCCATTCGATGGAATGATAATGTAGTCACTCGGCATGGATACTTTGGTTTGAATAAAGAGCTGGAACAAGTGGAGATTGTACATGTGTGATACTGATAAGACAGCATGACGTATAATGATGTTTAAACCTAAAGCTGCTTTAAGGGGAACTGGACACTAGGTAGTTAAAATTATCAAATGAAAACTAACTAAACCCACAACATCCTCGGCCCTGGCGGTGCACAAACCTCAGTAAAAGGAGGTGACGGGGGTAATTCATCCTTGGGAAGACGGTCCAAAGCAAAAGCCAATTCAGAAGCCCTAAAATGTAAACACAGACAGCATGTAAGCAATAACATTAACGTTACACATCATGTAGCTAACGCTAGCGTTGACACTTGAAAAAAGCGATATTCATTGTTTTAACGCAAGTAATCATTTAACGACATTCTTAACTAGAATATGGCATTAATAGTGTTGTATAATTAGCTAATAATTAGTATTAATCAGCTTTAGCTAACTTATAATGAGACTTGTCAACAGTACTGCTAACATAACGTTAGCTAACATTAGCATTAGCGCTAAGTTAATAAGTTAACGGAGCAGAATAACAGGCAGTTAATAACAAGTTAGCAACAGTCCGTCTCACCACTTTCCGCTGTGTAAAAGTCCCCTTTCTTTACAAAGCGATATCACCGATATTAGCTGTTTCTTGATTTGTACCAGGTCCCCAAACTCAGTACAGAGAGCCGCCATTTTCATATTTTACCAAGCAAGACTGCTATTGGTGGAAGTTGGAAGAGGAAGTCCCGCCCACCAAGAATGACATCACTTCTGCTCTCCCAATGCGTCCAAAATAAAAGCACCACTGTCAGTAATTTGTCATGCGAGAAAAACATAATTTGTAATTCTGACCATATCTTTTAAACCGTTTTATTCATCTTTTCAAAAACAAATACAAATCACATATCTTTCTGCTTGCCTGCAAACCTGCAAATACTGCACTTCATTTGTAAACCTGATAATACTAAACGCCAGCTGTGTATTTTTCATAATAGGCCTATTTCATATTGGCCTAACCATTAAACATCAGCAAGCAAAGGCTAGAATGAAGTACAAGATCAAGGCAGCATAGTTATTCAGATTGTTATGTAAACAACAACACCTAAAAACAACAAAAATCACTGACTAGAATAGAATATGTATTATGTTGTGCATATTCAAGTCCTTAAGGCATGCACCAGTTTACATTGCTTCAGCCGCTTCATAAATAACATTTTATAACATGAAATTAATGTGTAGTTCTCAAAGCTCATCTTACTAACATGTGCATGAATTATAGTGGTTTCATCTCTCCCTGACAGTTTTGTGTCACTGGGACAAATGCTGCAATATCGCAAGTAATTCCTGTTCATTGAATCTAATAGTTTATATCCATTTAGACCAAGAATAGTTCTGCTTTGTTTTTCGCCAGCTGCAATCACAAACTGGATAAAGACATCACAACATCATAAAGACTTTTCACTCTATATTTAGCCTTTGGCTTCCACCTCCCTTAGCCCGGAGCTTACAGCTCTGTTAGCCCTGAGCTTACAGTCATTTCACATCCAAAACTTCAATTGTGGGATATCCTCACTCTGAGCCCAGTGCTTAACTCTGCTTCAGAGCAGGGTTATCCCTGACTTTCTGAGGAACCTAAAAGATCAGGGTCAAAATTACTTATGTGAACGGAAGTTAGATCAAAGCAACAGGATTTTCATTGTCCAATCAAATTATTATTATTTTACTACAGGGTAACCAATGTCAATTTTATTTATATAGCACATTTCATACATGAAAACTCAAAGTGCTTTACTGTACATTTAAAGACAAAATATATGTAATATAGATACAAGAACAATCAGCATAATCAACATACATATAAGAATACATTTGTACACATAAAAACATCAACACAATCAAATAGAAACCCATGCGCACACACAACAGGTAACCATTAGCCAAGTTGAGAGCTTTAACTGTTCTGAAGATATGGATTTTGGATTTTCTTTTCCTCAGTACAGTTCCTTTCAGTAGGTATATTCCTCATGCATGACTTCCAGTTTTCACATGCTTGTTGAAGACCCCTATAATATCCCCGTTACTATTTACAGTCACAAAAATCCTAACCTGCAGTCTATTTTCACTCCACTCTCTGTTGATCTTGTGCTGCTGAATAGTTGGTCTGCCTTTGAGATTGTCATTGAGGTACAAAATATTACATAAGAACTTTAAATTTAAAAGATAACATTTATGCTACGAAACATGTAATTTAGACATCCACTGACATCAATTTTACAGGCATTGCCATAACATTTAATCAGTTCCTAAAATAATTTCTTAGGAAACAAAACAGAATATACACAAACTTTATTTTGATAATCACATACAGGTACATACATGAAATTTGATCTCTGCATTTCACCAATGGGGCTGATGTGAAGCGCCTGGAGCAACTTCAGGTTCAGTGTCTCGCTCAAGGACACTTTGACATGCAGACAGTCGGGAGCCGGGTATTGAACTGCCAACCTTGTCATTAAAGGTTGAGTCGCCCTTCCTATTGAACCGCACCCACCCCAACCAATACACCATGCTGGTTCAAGTATTACATAACTATCCAACCTTCTGAATGTACAATAAAAACTTGCTGATAATGCGAGCCTGCAATACATTAACTTCTGTCAAAGGGCTCAATCTTTATTTACGTCTTTAGAAAGACTCTCTTATGCTCTGCTGAACCCCGCTTCTATTCTGTCAGTATAATCTGCATTTGCTCTCATAGACACAGTTACTAATTTAATCAATATCTAATTCGGTAGTGAGTTTTGAAGGAACAGCAATATTATGACTCTTTCTTGTGCCAATAATGTTTCTTATTTGACTGCCTGCCCAGCCCTTGTCACTGGCATCTAAGCTTGGCCATGCTTCACTGGTGCAGAGCTGACATGGCTCATCATGTTCTTGTCCGTCAATAATCAGCAGAATCGCTGGCTTCAGGAAGTACAAGCACAGCTTCTTTATGTATGATATTCAAAATCTCACTTTTTCCCTTGGTATAACATAATGATTCACATCACACATTAGATAAACTAACATTAACTCTGATTAAATGAAAATAGAGTGAGGTGCACATTGGAGTTTTAGCTCAATGACACAAAGGCAGATCTGACCAACTAAGATCTTCAGCTGATGCAAAAGTTCAAAAGTTGTAAGTGAAAGAAATTCTAAATCCAACCCTTTCAAAGGCGCACGCTGTGGACCAGCGTGCGCCCTTGAAACAGTAGAACAACAGGTGTTCACCCATTGAGCTGCCACTAAAACCCACATGACAACTGCAAACTGCCCTTTGATCACAGAGACGGCTTGTTCTATAAGTATTGTTTGTCCGAGGCATTTCTCTTGTAAAGTTTGGACGAGAAACACACCTCTTTCATATGTTTTTTTTTTTATCACAGACCTCATACAGGTTGATCTCCCCCGGTCGCCTTATCCATCAATAGCGAAGAGCAAAATAAATTCAAGTTAGCGACGCAGGATCCTTAAACTCTCATGCTCTCCTCTGCAACATGTATAAAGACATTTATTTCGTTTGGATGTTCAGTGAAAGTAATGTAGAATAAAACCTTGACACATGAGCTTCTTACCATTGAGGAGGAAAAGCATGCAATGCACTTGAGAGGAAAAAAGCTTTGGATACAGTAATAGGATTAAACAGATGGGTGTAGCAACGGTCCTATTCATTCCAGTAATTAAGACTTCTTCAGTGAATGTAGAACGTAACCTTACAAAGTGTCATTGTTATTAAGAATATAAATCTATATCACATTTGTATCAGTGGTGCAACAACTATGTATAATGCTTACCTTTCACAACTGTCAATAATTTATTTATAACTTTATCGTTATTTTTCTACAGTAGGTGACACCGAATTTATCTGTTTAACATCTACTTTGCAGCTTTGTTGTGCCAATAGGCATTCACTATGTGTGTTAACATTTTAGTAAGAAGAAGGCATGCAGTGAGCAGACATTTGGATGTGTATGAAGAAGTGAGTACCTAATATTGTCAAGGGGTGGCGCTGTCTAACTGGTGGAAAAAACACCAATTATGAATATGAATATGAAAAATATTAAAAAACAACAACTTTTAAACGTGTTGATCAAATCATTCGAGCAAATTAAGTTTAATTTTGATAATGTGTATCCCTTGAAAGTGCTGGGCTAAAATAATGTGCTGATATCCTACAAACCTGACAACGAAGTTGACCATAAACATCCTTCTTCTCTCCATTAAAGGCACGTTAGGAAGAATTGAGTTTAAAATATCTTTCTTAATTTATTTTAATACATAAAATGTAAAAATAATATATTTTAATTCATTATTAAATAACTAATTATCCAAAGAACTGAAATTGGAATTTGGAATAAGAAAGTATAATTGTGTCTCCTCCCTCAGGTCTCCTTAAGGGGACATGAGGTAGATTTGGAAAAGCTGCATGATACTGAGGTTGTGGTTGTTTGGTCTGAAAAACGTGACGCGTCTGATGATTCTCCAATATTCTCTCATAAGACAGCAAAATATAATTCCCCTTCATTTGGATGCAGCGTCTCCTCTCGCCTCCCCGCACTTCCTTCTCTCTGTCGGACATGTCTCCCTATTTCTCCACAGAGAAAAAGCCACTTTAGAAGACTGACAAAGTAATCAAGTAGCACTGCAGTTTACAAGGCCGAGTACATGGCTCACTGAGCAGGTTGAAAGAGGGGCAGAGCCGGGCCTTAAATAGTCCATGCCTTTCACTCAGCCCTTCCTCACTTCTTTGTTTTCATCTCTCTCCCTCTCTCACGCACACACACAGATTTCTGATGTAATTTTTGTTTTGTTTTGTTGAATTACTTCACTTAAACATCCCCACACACACATATATCCTTCAGGTATGGGGCAGTGGAGTGCATGACAGAGCTGCTGAGACAGAATTTTGAGACAGTTGTGTAATTGAAAGGGAAAATATGCCAACAATGTGCTTGAGTGAGTGTGTGTGTGTGCGTCTGTGTGTGTGTGTGTGTGTGTGTGTGTGTGTGTGTGTGTGTGTGTATGTGTGTGCGTGTGCACGTTTGTTTGTTTGTGTGTATGTGTGTGTGTACACTTTCAGCTTGGGACTCAAAGTTGTTTGAAAAATCCATACAATGCATAATTATCTAACCTAGTATGTTGTTTTGG